TAGGGGAAAAGTTTGAGCTGATTCAGGGTTCATACTGAAGTTTTCCAAGGCATCATACTCAAGTTTATCCTTATAGGAAATAAAAAATTCATAGGAAGGTCAAAGAAGCCTAAGAAGGTGGAGTTGTGTCATTGTTAAAAATATAAGTTGTACTTCATACAAAGTTCTATTTTCCTCAAATTTGATAAAATTACTCAACTCTTCCAAGCTAAGCGAAACCTTGCATGAAAATTAAACATACAATGTTCAACCAAACAACATACGGAGTATACATTTCCTTATATATAACTGCTCGGAGGAAACGATTATTAGACAATATTACTTCCCATGATCAACCACATTTTTTATGCCCTGAGACATTATCTTTCAGTTCTGCAGCTCATTTTGTCTAAAGTTTTTCAAGCAACTCTCTAAGCTTGCTAGGTCTTGTAATATCTAATTTACATCCTTGCCCAAGTACAATGTACCACAATCATTTAGCCAACTAGCCAAGTAAAAGTTCATTCGTTAGTGCTAAGAAAAAGGAATGTAAGTCAAAAATTTCAGTCGCATGTTTACTAGAGTAAAATCAAATGAGTCAGCAAGTAAAAATTATATGCAAGAAAAGATGCATTGCCTTCTTCCATGACAAGACTTCAGAAATTTTGGATAATTAGTAGCTATCATGGACACTAATTTACTTAAGTCCTATATAGAAAACCGAAACTATCTAATAAGACAATCACAAGTTGATATAGGAACTAAATTTAGAGATGTAGGGAGAGCCAAAAGTTCAAAACAAAAAAGCTTAAAACCCAATAAACACTGAAATAAACCAGCACCCCAAAATGACTTCAGAAAATATGAAAAGGATTTGCTGTACTAAACAAGCAACCCCATTGCAGAACAAAATGACTTCAGAAAACATGAAAGGCATTTGCTGTATCGCAAACGTTCATTAATACGTACACACCCATCCTCTGTCACTGGTTTATTTCCATCAATATCCAGCGACACAGGATTGGTGTAAGCACTTTTTCCATCCAGTGGGTTCTTTTACCATTTCTCCCCATATCCAAACACAGAAAATTTCATCCAAACACATTATAAATGTCAATATTGTAAACATTCTCGAACTTTCATATCGAGTAACAATAGAAGAGATGCTAACAGGTCCTACACATATGAAAACAAAAACAACAATCTAGGTCATTGAATATCTTAGCAGTTTGTATGGCTTGGAATAGTCAAGGCTGCTTTTCTTTATAGAGTAAATATCTATTTATATTCTTGCATTCTCGATTTCTCCTTTCAAAGAAACAATGCTTATCAGAAGGGTAGGAAACCTTATCAAAAAAGGAGCATACAGTTCCAACTTAGCATATACTTATTCACCAACCAAACAGTGACACAAAAGTTAGATTGGGAGTAGCATTACAGAAGGCAGACATTAAAGGGAAAACAACAGTAAGCCATTGGTGATAAGAGGAAAACAAACTATAGAAGTAGTGATTTACTCCTTTTTTTCCAACTGACGTCTCTTTTTAATCTTTTTTACTTGGTACTCACCATCAAAGAAGTGGAACTATAAGGTAAGCCGAACTTTACTTTTTGTATTTTAGATACTTTAGAAGTAGGTATGATAAGGGTGATGAAATCTTACATCATCACATCTTTGCACTTTAGAGTATGTGGTTGAATCAGTGCAGAGGAATTCAGGAAAAATAATTCAGAGAGTTAAGAGTTATTATTAGTTTGGTGGATGGTGACAGCATGTGGCCAGCCAAGCCAATTGAATGGCTCACATGGATTAAGGCGAAAAGCAGTACAAACTTTGTTTAATTAGGAAGTATTATAAAATTTAAGACGTGATTAGCGACGCAATCAGTTGCAGGATGGAACTGGCATCTAGATGTGTCCTAAAATGATTATTCTAAGAAAATTGGAGATAAAAAGGAGATGGAAGATGGGGCTTAGATTGAGAGTGTTGTCTTTACCAGCAAAGGGCATAAATTGGTAGGTGAGCAAAAACTACAATAACCAAAATATTACAGTAATAGGTAGACATCATTCAGACAGAAAGACAAGACTATAAGAAAGGGCATCTTAGCCCACAGTTTTAAAAACAAGATCACAGACAATTACATCAATTTTTATTTTCTTTTTGGCTTTTTGGGTTGATTAGGGTGGGACTTGAAACATAGAACATAGTCATTAACTAGATATTATGAACTCTACTTGATAATAGTCATGAACTAAAAATCAAAAACTCTACTTGATTGGGATTTGGAAAATTCCCAAGCAATTTGCTGTAACACTTTACGAATGGCTTATGTTACTATCCGTCTATTGTGCATATGATGATCAAATCCCACTATTCAAAAAGCAGTTCTTTCTTAGTTTCTTACACTTTTTTCTTTTGATCTACTTACTTCAACTTTCAAAAAAATATCTCATGGAGAATTTTTTTTAATTACATATCTACAGCATGGTAGTACAAAAGAAACCCATAATTTGGTATATTAACACAGAGTTTCTCCTGTATGATACTATGATCATGTTTGGTGTGACTTGTTTTAAATTGATATAAAAATTAAGCATTAATTACTTAATGCTCCCAAGTCCCAAATACAATGGATTCACAACTACCCTTCTACTTCCAGGGAATAACCTGGATTTGAAAGCACCAAATATAAGTAACTTAGAACATTCTGAATAATATTCCTTTTAAAAATAAAAAAATAAACAAATCTGGGACCACACAAGAAGATATAAAAACCAAACCTATCAAAACACAACAGGGTTAAACTGAAACATCAACAAAAAGTTTAATTTTAGTTAAACCGAAGCATCATCAAAACATACTTATGGATTTTTTGCTTCCAAGTATCCATGAAGCAGATTTATATTATAATTGTAAATATAATTTAATTCAAGAAATTAGATGAGATTTGAAGTTATTCTTGCAGTAATATGTTCAGCTGAGCTTTAGATTAGGATGAACCTCCATGATCAATCCTTAGATTAGTTTGCGCTAGATCTCTTCTTAAAATTACTCTTTTTTTTTTTTCAATTTAATGATAAAAAATAAAAAATAAATAAAGTAAAAAGGAAAAGATTGGAAACTTTTTCATAATAACCTAGTACCCCTAAAGCAGAACATTTGCAAAGTGATCCTCTTTAAGATGCCAAGGCAAATCTCACCCTCAAAAAAGTAGAGAACAAGTTGGGATATCTTCCATCCCTAACCTTCAGCCAAGGCATAGGGGTAACAACAAGCCAAGATTAAATTTGGGGTTGCTCGGGTTGACTTAATACAATTACATCTAAGATTTAGCCAAATTTCAAGCAATTTCAAACTCCAAAATTTCAAGTTCCAAAATGATAACCCAAGTAGATAATTTGGTTTATTATAAGGAGTAACGTTCATAATACCAGCTAAGTTGATTTAGCCATTGCTACTCCTAGCATAAATATGAGAAGTTGAATGTGAAGGTCTTCATGTATGAATGGTTGAAGGCCAATTACATAGAGATCAGAGATGTACAGCTTTGCTTCTGAAAGTAAGAAGCATTTGATTACTTAACAAGCTTTCTGAATTTCAGTACTAGAACAATTTTAGCAGCCGAGTGTAATAGACTAGCCTGGGAAAGGGGTATTCTTGGTAATAAAAAATTACTCTGTTCTTCTTAGCTTGGAGATGAAGAAAGCAAGTTGGCTACAAGTCAAAGTGGGAAAGAAAGTGAGAAGTCTATGAAAAGAGAGATCAATTAAAGAGGAAATTGAGTAACATAAACAAGCAAATATCAAGAATTTTACTTTTGTTATCAATTTATCATGGGAGGTGTTGTGGGTGCGGATATGATGCGTTGATGTGGACTGTGTCACAATTATCATGATGCGAATTTGATTTTTAAGTTTTAAATTGAATTTTAGAGTAGAATGCTATTAAAAATGTTAAGAGTAGATTAGTAAAGAATTAAGTCACTAGTTAGGGACATAGGATAACTTTCACTATTTTTGTGAACAAAGTAACCTTTGAGTGATTTCCTAAAAAAATAACCTTTAAGTGAAACATTGGATGTAAGTATGAAACAGTCATTGCGGGATGATTTGGGGTTTTCAAGTTTGTTTTGAACGAGATTTCGGGTTTTTGAAGCACCCCCTTGTTGGTACAGACAATTTCAGTTCGTTTGATTGAATATCCTTCACAATACAGCTCAACTGAAACAATGTGGACTTTTTGTTACACCAAAGTAACAAATACAAGAATTGACAAAAAAAAAAAAAAAAAAAAAAGGTAACAAATACAAGAAATACTAACAAAGAACGAGAACACATAGATTTACGTGGTTCACTAACGATGTATAAACGGTATCCAAGGGCAAGCGAAATCACAAAACAGGAATTAAAACGCAAGGAATACAGTACTCCTAAAACATAATCACCCCCAAAAAAATAGAAAATCATAGCCCAATCTAACCATAAGAGGAAAACAAATTCAAGGCATAATTAACCGTAGTTGAATTTTGGCTGAAGTCAATGAATAAGGTAGCGAGTTGTGACTGTAACTAATCTCATACTAACAAATTAAGAAACTATGGTCCAGCCACTCAAAAGACTGAAATTGTAAACCCTTGATGTTTGAATAGCATCAAATCAAAATCTACCGTCGAAACCCCCAAATTATCTTCTTCCTCATTTCTACATCTCTGAATTTCCCAACTATAACACCGAGGTTGCTGATTTCCCTCTGAACAATAATTTTTTCTAGTTATCCCCCAAATTATCTTCTTCCTCATTTCTACATCTCTGAATTTCCCAACTATAACACCGAGGTTGCTGTTTTCCCTTTGAACAATCATTTTTTCTGGTTATCCATAACTAAATCCTATCTAAAGACTAAAGATGGAATACACTAACTGGATATCCTTGTATATCCAGATAATCAAATCCAAGCGCATAGTAGCAGCCTGCCGATTATCCACAAAAATCTTAAAAAGAAAAAATAGCTTCCAACATGTTAAATTTTGCTCCCTTGATAATACATTTAAAACAACCGTCAAGTTCTAGTACAAATTTAATTCTGGCAGCCAAAGTTGCCACTGCCCCGAGGGCAAATAATAAATACAAAAAAAATGCAAAATTATTACTCTGTATATATTTCTTCAAAACTACAGCTTATTTAAATAACAGCAATTCTACATCCTAATCTAATCACACAGCATCCAGTCTGTGAAACAGCATTCACGTTATCCACAAAAATCTTATAACAGCAATTTTGCTTCCAAGAAATATACGCGAAGTCAGGAACAAACTAACCCAGCAAAAGAGAGTTTCAGCACTTGTCACAGCAATTGAAAGTTTGTGAACACTGAACAGCTACAATAGAAAAGCAATTCCCAGTGAAGTTTTTAGCTATACAAAGTTGTAGGCTTGAGCACAAAATTCTGCAAAAAAGAACATAATCCATTAATACTGGCAACAGTCCGACATCATTTTAACCACAATGGAGAACAGAAGCTAACAGCGACATTAATACTAAGCCAAAAAGTAAAAATAATAATAATTTTAAAAAAAATATATATATAGCACCAAACTCGAAAAAACATCTAATCTCTCAGCAACACAAAAGGTGTAGCAGCATTTTGACTCTTCAAATTCTCGTAGCCAACTCAATGTTGTGACAATTGCACGAGAATCAAAGATGCAGGTGTAATTATGCAGCCTCAACTCAGGAATGCAATTGAAGCAAATTAGACATCATTTTACATTTCTAGTATTCTAGTTTCTGGTTATCACATATGCAGCTTTAAAAGTAGGTTATGATGCCGTCGACCTCAGATAATGGTCACTTATATCACCCCTTTGAAATGTAGCAGCCAATATCAAAAATAAAAAATTGTTCCAAAAATGTGATAATAAATTACTCGAAGTCAAAAGCTTAAAAAGTAGCCATAATCATTGTATTGTATAATCAAATATCCCCAGAAGCAACATCTAGTTTCTTTTCAATCATAGTACAAACTTGTCCACCAATGGGGATGTATCCACAATCAATAGCCTTCTTCTCAATAATATGTAAGCATGGACTAGCTAGGAAAAATGCCAGTTGCTATTGAAAAAGGAAATTTAACTAAAAAAAGATTTGCAACTCTTAGCTATACACAGGTATATTGAGGAAATTGTGCCCACCAGCCTTGACTTTTGTTTTTCCCCCCTTGCAAAACCGATCTATGTTATGTTAAACTCATAAGATCACTTTAGTCCACGTGGAAATTGCTCCTGACTGCTTACTACCAAGCTAATGTGGGATTATTTCCAATGCAGGTGAAGGCCATCAAAGAAATTAAGCCTTTCAAGACATTTTGCCTCCTTCCAGCTTTTGACACACAATGAAGGATCTCTTGATGATCCATGATTACAAAGTTAAATCAAGCCTCTGAAACCAAACTCTTTCTTCCCTCTTAATTTATATCTATATCTTAAAATAAAACTTGAAATATGAATGAAATGATTTTATCAAGCGACTATCAAAGTAGCATTGTTATATCGGTCTGAATGTTGAGCATTTGAGAAGGACCAAATTAGGAAGATGTGATTAGCACAGATGTGTATGTTGAGATAGAACAGTGGGAACACCCTAAAGGATAAAATTAGAGATGAACATCTGAGCAAGAAAGATGGAGTTGCGGACATAAAGGATAAAATAAGGGGAAACAGGTTGTGTTGGTTTGGGCATGTCAGGCAGAGACCAGAAAGCGCACCAGTAAGGAAAGTAAAGGGTTAGGATCAAGGGGATCTCAAAAGAGAAAAGGAAGGGAAGACCAAAGGTGACTTGGATGAAAGGAGTTAAGGACACATAGAAAGTGAGTTTGGGGGAGCATAATGGAATGGAAGGAAGGATCATGGTAATCTAAGAGAGTATTTTTCATGTAAACCCCCACCTTTGGGATTAAGGTTGCGGTTTTGTTGTTAGAATTCTTTTCCTGTTTTTCAAAGTAAATACACAGAAACCATTTACCTTAGAATGGGAAAGTGCTTTCTAAGCATTTATAATGTGAGGCTTTACTAAAATTTTACTTATCCAAAACATTCACCAGATACCTAGAAGGCTATAATAAAGATGGTCTGAAGTTTTTCACTTGGGCTCATCACAAATGGATAATGGCTTAACCTTTTTTTTTTTTTTTTTTTTTGTTAGCAACAAGTAGCTCACTATATAAGTTATTTTTCACTGAAACTTAAGAGGGACAACATGAAAATATGAATTTGGAGTCTGACCTGCAATAAGAAATCTTGCTAGATTTTTAGCGCTTGTAGTGCATTAGTTGGTGTATATAAAGACCCAAACCCCACTATTAAGTCTTTCACGCTGCTTTCTACTCCATCTTCTACTTCACTCTCTTCTATAGTTCTATTCCATCTACTTATCTTACTTCTACATCTCCTCCTCTTTCTCTCTCCTCTACTATATCTCCTCCTCTTTATAATTTTTTTGCGCACACATGGAGCCTGAAACTATATGAACTTATGGAGTTACAGGATCTATTATTTTTTAAAAAGGTAATCAAGCCTTGAAGGAACACTTATAGAGTGTCTTCAATTGATGGTTATCAAGAGTTCATACATAAATCAACAATAAAATCTTCATCGATGAATTTAAGTGCGCAGCATGTACTCTACATTTCTCACCGTGTTCCTCAGCCTAAATTCGACAAATCAATTACTAGTATACCATCTATAACTAATAATTAGCATCTCCAGTTGAAGTATACAAAGAATCTCAAAAGACCCCAATTCTCTCCTTACTATATATCTTTATTAAAAAAAATGTATATGGCCAATTGGCCATCAAATCTTAGCTTGTCCTACACTGCTTCATTTTTCTTCATCAATGACTCATCCAACCTAATATCTATCTAATCACCCCTGCATTACCCTATATGATAACATAATTGTTATACAACAACAATTGAACAAAATTCCACACAAATACCAAGCTTACTCACAAAGCAAAATCAGATGAAAACAGTGCAAAAGTGTCAAGCAAAGATAACAAAGCTACAAAGCAAAAGCACATACAGTACAAAGCAAATACAAATATAACCAGAATAAAGCGATCCAAACACACCTCAAACTCTCAGCAGCTGCAACTTATTCGAGAAAGCGATACTAATCCACTCCGGCTGAGCAGCAGACCACTGCAACTGGTTTATTTCCGAGCCAGCATTGTACATTGACAAAGGATCAATCCCATTGGGGGCAGCAACGGTGGGAAGCTCCCATATAAGCGCCTGAGCATCATCACCAACAGAGCATATATGCCTGCCACTATGAGGCGCCCACGCCACAGCATTAACACTAGCCTGGTGCCTCTCGAATTCTGCCACCGGCATCGTAGGAGACCGTATATCCAATATCACAACCTTATTACTATCCATCAAAGTGGTGGCCATATACCTCAAATCCTGCTTATTCCAAGCTAGCCTTAACAACGGAGTATCCGGCTCCGGGGACTCGTAAACAATCGTAGAATGTTCCTTATCTCTCAAATCAAAAATCCTAACACTTCCATCAGCCGAAACCGATGCAAAAACTCCAGCTTCTCCCCAAGCAATGTCGTAAACCTCCTTATCATGAGCAATCAACTGAGTTTCAACCACACATTTCTCAATATCCCAAATCGTACAAGTTGTATCAATACTAGAAGTTCCAATTCGTTGAGGAACGACGTCGTTCCAATCAAACGACGTCAATGGCGCACAGAAATCGCTCGATTTCGAGTTATTGAGGTTAGACACCAACTCAATTGAATCATTCTTGAACGAATACAACCTGAGAAAATCGGCCGACGATGCCAGAATCGGCGGTGATGAAGCTGAAGGTTGAAACATCAATTTTGTCGGAGGATAAGGATGAGGAAATGAGAGATTTGGGGATAGGGTTAGGGTTAGGGTTTCTTCATCGAAGGTTAAGATATCGATGCGATTGTTGTATTCTTCGATGAAACTTCCGACGGCAATGATTTGGTCGGAGCTCCGGCGAGAAATTCCGGCGGAGGAGAGAGAAAACGACATGGCGTAAAGCGGGTAAGGTGAATCGTACGTTACGAGGGTGTTGTTAGGAAGGAGGTGAGATTCTTGAGTTAAATTCTCCATTTTTTGGGGAAAATTGAATTAGGGATTTGATAATTTTAGGGTTTGTGATCTTGTTCAGGAGAATTGGGGATTTTTAGAGGTTGAAGAAGGAGACTGGTAATTCTAGCGCCGGTCAACGGAGAGAGTTGTTGAGTTTTGACTTTTTGGAGGGAAGGATTACCTACTAGTCAACGGCCTACTTTTTTCTCAGTATTTGCTATTGGGCTTCATAATGGGCCTAGCCCAATTAAAAGAAAAAATAAGGCCTCTAACTCACGAGTCATAGTTTTTTTTTTTTTTTTTTTTTTTTTTTTTCTCTTCTTGGTGTTTAGAAAGCCACAAGGACGGGGTGAGAATCGATACCAAAATCTCTTGGAACTGGAAAAAAAACTTTAACCACTTGAGTTATCCCTCACTCTCATATAATAGTCTCATATAATAGTCTGTTAAGTGTAACTAGTCTTAGTGATTAGGAGCTAGAGTAGTTGCTACTAGCCAATATGAGCTTTGGAAGAGTACTAGATATTGACTCGGGCAATACACCATGCAGTTGTGATCCTACTTTTGATAGTTTTAAAGCTACAGTAGTTACATGACTTGCTAGTTGATAGCCAATATGAGCATTGGAAGAGCACTAGATAATGACTCAAGCGCCATATAGTTGTGATCCATACTTTTGTGACAAATAGTGATGACATGAAAAGTTTATTAGTCACTTGATATGTGTTTTGCATATTAAATGGTGATTCTCCTCTATTATATTTGTTTATTTCCTTTTTTGTAATAATATGAAGGTGATTTGAGAATTTTATTCATCAAACTTGTATCCTTTATTGAAAAAAAAAAAACTCATAGATGTGTAAGGTTGTTGGGAGGAGGATCACAGGGTATATACGACCATTACTATTTAAACCTTTGTTAATAATAAGTAAGTTATTGTCAATAGATTTCGAACAATTAAATTGAGAGGTAGTTTGAACAACTAAATACTCCAAAGTAATATAAAGAGATGAATAGACAATTGACTATTACAGAGTAAAAACTAATTCGACATAGGTGGCATTGTTTCAAGCTAAGCGTTAAAAAATATTGGCGTTTGAAAGTGGCGAGAAGCATTTGACAAATTTTGCATACATTTTAATATTCCCTCCGTCCCTTAATACAATGCTTCTTTTGAGCATTTATTCCTCACATAATAAAGAGAAAGAGGCATTGTATTAAGAGACGGAGGGAATAATTATGTATATCTTTTTATATTATACTTCGTATTAATATTTATCCGTCTTTTTTTGTCAAACTCCATAAACACTATCAACTTATATTGACAACTAATCCCTCTACTCACTACTAATTAGCAATTACTTGTTATTCGACCGCTAAAAGTTAAATTGGTACTAGGGGTACTACTAGTTTTGCCAAATAGGGTCTTATACATGGGTGATCAACATCTAAAGAGGGAAGTGAATGTCGGAATCCGAAATAATTTACTAAATTAGTTGTCTTCTTAGATTTTGTTATTGGTGATTTTCTACAAAGTAGATCCAATTCAATGCACAATAAGAAGTATGTAGGGCACTCTTCTAAATGGAAACAATTACAATGTAAAAGAATTGAAGAGATGTTACATTAATGGCTAATTTTTGTCTTTTTTAAAAAAAAAATTGTCTTTTTTAAAAAAAAATCGTAAGGACCAAAAAAATAAAGGATGATGACTTTTCTACTGACTTAGATGCTGGCAACAATATTTGAGAGGCATATAAAATTCGAAAAGTGAGATATGTAACATCATCTGAGCAATTCGCATTTTTCATGAATGATATGTTTATAAAATGATCAATATCTACTAGTATTTCGGGAGTTTGATTAGTTTGAATTGGTCAGGAAGTAAAGCGATGGTACTTGCATTTAGAATTATTGTTTTCACTAGTTATTTTATAGTCAATACCAACTTATTATAACTTTTTATTTTAAAGGAAGTCGAATTTTACTTAAATGGAACGTGAATCAAAGTGTTACCAATCATGGTCAAATCAAAACCACTTAAATTAAACTTGGACATCTTTTTAATCAAATCTTCTACTATCTATAACAAGCCTTGAAATTCCATAGCTAAAAGCCACCATTTTTCATTCTTATCTTCTTTTTATATATATACAATCCATATTTCACACGCAAATCGATCAATTCCAACACTACAACACATCATCTAGTTGGTTTTTTTTGCTAAATTACTATCATTAGTACTTTATGTCTATATGCATAATACATATATATCGATCAAAGTCATCAAACACAAAATGGACATTTCACCAAAAATCTAGAAGAAAAAAGACAACACGATATTTTGGCTATTTGATCATATTTCATCATCAACAGTTATTACCAATTAGATATAAATACAAGTATACAACATTTCGTGTCAATAAGAAGCATGAAAATTGCATGTACCGTTTTTTCCAACCCTAAACCCAAGCTCACGCCATTAAAACATGATAGATGTCGTTATACGTTGACTGACTTTATATTTTGTACACTTCAAATAAACTGGGTCATTTTTTTTATCCCTTTGTTTTTTTTTTTCTAGATATTTTCTCACATTTATGTCATAAGTTAGACCTTTACCCCAAGGATACGTTTGGATATATATAATAATGATTACACCAATATGAAAATAGTTTTTTTTTGGTAGGACATTTTTTTTATTTATTCATTTTTTTATTTTATTTTTTTTGAAAGAAGGACAAATTTGTTTATAATATGGAACAAATATGCATTTCATGAAACTCCTTTTTTTTGAAAAAAAAAAAAGAAAATGTACTATAGATCTCGAAATAGACATTTTATTGGGTTGTAATTAAAAGATTCTCATGTTATTGTGGCCGGTGCCCGACCAAGTAGAAATTCATGTGCACTTTGTCTTCATGAAATTTGTCTTCATGAAAGATATATATACTAATACTAACGTTACATTTACTTAATTAAGCAACTATTCTATGAAGATCTCCACGTTTAAAAATGTAACACATTTTTTTTTTTTTTTGAAAGCTAACACAATACTTTACTAATCAAATAATTAATTGAAATTTTTTGGAAGAATGAAATTTATATGACAATACTGTTGGAAATTATAATGCTTTGTTATTATATAATCATTGATTGGTCGATCGAGCTCATTAATGGTAACAATGTTTCTAGTTGTGACTTTTAAAAGTTAGAGTTGTGTTATATATATATATATATATATATATATATATATATATATATATATATATATATATATATATATATATATATATAGAACTGACATCATACATCGGAAACAAAGCAATAGGGATGAATTTAGTAAGCGATATGATAGAGAAGGTTAGGATATGGGTGGTTGTAACTTGTGAGAGTAATATATGTGATCAATAAAAGAGTAGTAGTTGTATGTACATGCTTAGTTGCTTACGTGATTTCTCTATTTATCCTTGTACATTACAAGAAATACTTATCAAAAAAGGAGGTGATTAGAGTTTCGTGTACTCCGTAAGTGTCAGGGTTGAATTTAGTATGGTAAAAACATATCCAATGGATGACCCAAAAATATTGGTCATGTACTATTATATAATTTCTCTTTCTTTCCACTCATCTATTATCAAGTCACATGACCAACAATAACCAAAGACTCCCAGTGGTTGTCCAAATAACTTTGGTCATGATAGGAAATAGTAAATAATAGTTTCTCTCTCTTTCCCATTTCCTTCCAATAGTATGAAGCCACTTGTCAATTATTATATTCATGACCAAAGTCTTATATCTTGGTCATTTCAATGACCTGGTCATCCCCTTCTCTCCTCCCTAAAGTCCTTTCTCTCTCCTCATGACTTAGATCATTGGTCATCCAATGGCCTATCTCTAAGGGATGATAGAGAAGGTTAGGACATGGCATATGGGTGGTTAATTGTAACTTGTGAGAGTAATATATGTGGTCAATAAAAGTGTGGTTGTCGTAAGTATATGCTTAATTGTGTTACGTGATTTATCTATTTATCCTTGTACATTATACGAAATTCATATAAAAAAAAAGGAGGTGATTAGAGTTTCGTGTCACGTACTCTGTAAGTGTCAGGCCGAATGAATTTAGTAAGGGATGATAGAGAATGTTAGGATATGGGTGGTTAATTGTAACTTGTGAGAGTAATATATGTGGTCAATAAAAGAGTGGTTGTCGTAAGTATATGCTTAGTTACTTTCGTGATTTCTCTACTTATCCTTTTGTACATTATAAGAAATACTTATAAAAAAGGAGGTGATTAGAGTTTCGTGTCACGCACTCCGTAAGTGTCAACTACTCGATTGTCAAGTACATGGTGTCAACATAAGAAATTGAGAACCCTATTATGGGGTGATGACTTATACAAAGCCTTTAAATTGTTCATTAATGGAATCAAATTTCTTTATTCCTATCTTAAATTATATTTATAATAAGATGGGGAGAGTGAGGGCAGCTCAGGTGGTTACAATTTCCCTTCCGATTCCGGAAATTGGAATCGATTCTCATCACTCGCCCTTATGGCTCTCTAATCACCAGAAAAAAAAGGTGTCGATTGAACATTTGAACTATTGACCATGTCTAATTTGAAAATTTTACTAACAATAGTTTTTCTTTAGTGGGATAAGAGATTTATCCACATCCATAACACCCATAGCAAACAATAGACTTCTCTTATCTCAGTCTTTTCTCTTTATCTAGTCAAAATAAATATCAATTAGGTATATTGATCTTATTATTTTGACTTAGCTCGTGCATGGTAAGATTAATTTAGATAAGGGTTATTTAATAATGTTTCTTCAAAGGGTTTGGATGTCAAATTTTTCGTCTTGTATTTCGTCTCTTTTGATTTCTGATTCCCCCATGAATGAAATTTAGTTTCCCCGGTGGGATTTGTTTTTTAAAAAATAATGTTCCTCCAAGATCAATTCATCATCAAAATAAAGTTTAACAAGTTCCGATTATTTCGGATGAAAATAGAAAAGTTCAAATAAGTTTAGATGATAAAAATGCGCACCATTAATGTTTAATCTCATCAAATCATCTTTTTCAAACTTCACTAATTTATTCTTCAAATTGTAATGTTGTAACGATATATTATGAGTTTGCCTAAAAAAAGATATATTATGTGAGGTTGTTATATACACCGGATGTACCGTACACCCATAGTTTTTGTTCTCATTTTGATGATTGTTTTTCATTTAATCATCAAATAAAAAGCAAAATTTAACCTTATGTTAATTCGGTCTACAATACATCCGACTATATATGTAACTAATTCAAATATATTTCGTATTATGCATTGTATGGCTCACAGAATTAGTTTTTTTCAAGCAAAAATATAATAATGAAATGGATAAGAAAACTCTTGTACAACTTAAGAGGAAAAAGACTTTTAAAGAAAAAGAGAAAAAAAAGACTCGACTCAAAATCATATGAAGTGGTTGAAAGATTCAAAAAGAATGAGAAAAAGAGGGAACAACTTTAAATGGGCCGACAGTTAAATTAGTACCACAAAGGCACAAATTGATTGTGCTAGCAGGCCGACCCTTGTTTACCCCGACTTGTGGGTTAGTGCAGTGTGTGTTTTGCGGCTATCAACCAAACGTTTTTGTGGTGCAACAATGTTTGAAAGTGGTTTGTTAGGGCCACAACTCACAAGACATGTTCAATGTTCTAAAATTAAATTGGATTGAAAATGTGACATTTTAAAATTTGTGATAGGAAGATTAGATAGATCAAATCAAATCAAATTGAAATGGATCGATTTTAATTTCATCCCGTGTATCGATTTTTTAACATTCAGGTGTGTGTGAGATATATAAGTGGTAAAACATGTAATGGTTGTATTATTGCAAACAATGAAATATTAAATACATATTTTTTTTTAGCATTAGGCCGTGTATATTATCCCGTTCAATCCAATAATTTGAGTTTGTTTGACATCATTTTTTGTTTTCAATTTTCTGTTTATTTTTTAAAATAAGATAAAGGTGTTTCCACTTTTTTATAATCTGTTTCAAAATTATCATGATTTTAATAAGTTTGACTAATTTTTTATTCATTACTTCCTCCGTTTCTATTAAGTTGACACGTTTCTTTATTCACGTTTGCCAATGCACAACTTCAACTATTCATATATTTAATTACCGATAAGTAAATAATTATGAAAAGTTGATATTTTGAAAATATAAATCGTGACAAATCTAACAATATCTCACATGACTATATTTTTCATTATATATAAAGCACAAAACACGGTCAAAAGAGTGTGTATGAATAGTGCTAAAGTCAAAACGTGTCAACTAAAAAAAACGGAGGTAGTATATGATATCATATGATTTTGAAAAACAAAAAACAGAAAATACAACGATGTCAAACGAATCCTTATTTGAACAAATGTTTTAATTAGTGGAACTTTATGCCAAATAGTTATGCATTTCTGATTTTTTTAGTTCAATTACTTACAGATTGTCTGGATAAAGAAAAGGGAAGGAAAAGAAGGGGCGGGGGGAGAAGAGGAGAGGAGGGGAGGGAAAGGGAGGGGAGGGAAAAAGGATGAGTTCTCCTTCCAAATCTATCAATTGTTGGAGGGATCAATTTTCTACAATTTAATCCTTCCATTTCTCTCCCCTCCAATTCCCTCCCCTCCAATTCTCTCCCTTCCTCGTTTGCCATCCAAATAAAAGATACTCCATCTCTCCATTTCTCTTCCCTTCCTTTCCCTCCATTTCCTTCAATCCAAACACAAATTTAATTTCGACATTTGTTTTACATCGTTTGCTTTTTATATTGGGTTCAAAATGTATGGAATGTTACCATTACAAACATAAATTGTGCGAAAAAATGTCAAAAATAAAAATAAAAATGATAGACTAACCGTCAGATCCAAATCGAACCACACGTACTGTCCTCAATCCACCAAAATTTAGGAATTTGGTCTTCCTATAAGATTCGTTGGTCCGATATTAATCTTGTGCATAACGCTATTATACCTTGAATACAAACTAAAATACATTTAGGGCCTGTTCTCTTACGTTGAAATTCAGTTTAGTTTAGTTCAGTTCAGCTGAGTTCAGTTCAGTTCAGTTCAGCTCAGCTCCTAATTTTCTTCTCTTATAAAATATTCATTTCAGTTCAGTTCAGCTCAATTCAGTCAATGAGAACATACCCTTGGTGTTCTGAACTTGATTTACTATTTGTATAAAAAAAAAAGAAAAAAAAAACTTGATTTACTAAAAAAAGGGCAGACATTTATAATGGGAACTGGTCTTTACACAACACAAGAAGTTTGAATATAGTAGGAGAGTAGGATGAATTATATGAACTTCAATTGGAAAAAAAAAAGGAGCTGAGAAAAATGGAGTTTATATGTACTTGTATACAAATACTTTTCTAAGTGTATCCAATCCTTAATTGTCATACTACTAATTAGGAGGTTAAATTTTTTTATGTGATATTACAACATTACCCTTACTTTTTTTTTTCTAAACACCCTAATTAAACTACTAATCTTATTAACTTAAACCCTAACATTGATTTAATCACCTCCCATCTAAATTCATCATCACCTTCATTGACCACCACCAGCACCACCATCACCTTCATTTGCAACAACCACCACCACCACCGATCGCTACTATCGCCGGAAATCACCGCCGTTTTCTTCTTCCTTGTCGAGGCCTTCGTTTTCTCTATCTTCTTTTTCTAGATCTGACTTTTTCTGGGTTCGTTGTGTGTTTGGTGAATCGATGGTGGTGCTTGGTGGGTCGAATTTCTGGGTTCGAATTTCAGGATGTGGTGGTGCTGGGTTTGAATTTTGTGGGTTCGGAATTCTGGAGGATTATGGGTTGTGGGTTTCGGGGTGGGTGGTGGTAGGTTGTAGTGGGTTTGAATTTCTAGGATTGTGGTTGTGGGTTTTGGGGTGGGTGGTGGTGGGTTGTAGTGGGTTCGACGGTTGTGGGTCTGGCTTCGTGGGTAATGGGTTTCGGGTGGGTGGTGGTGGGTTGTAGTGGGTTCGGTGATTGTGGGTCTGGGTTCGTGGTGGTGGGTTTCGGGGTTATGGGTCTGGGTTCGTGGGATTTGGGTTTCGGGGTGGGTGGTGCTGGGTTGTAGTGGGTTCGGCGGCTTCGCGAAGGGTTCTGGGATCGTTGGTGGTGGTGGTGCTGGGGTCGTTGGTGGTGCGCTGGGTGTGGTGGTGTTTTCGTGGTTGTGGTTTTGCTAGGTGGTGGTGTTGCTAAGTGGTGGTGGTTTCGTGGTTGTGGTGCTTGGTGTTTAGTTTTTGTTTTTTTTTTTCATTGATTGGATTAATACTAAGCACATCCCTTATATTCCAATAATTACACTTAAGAAATTTTGCCTAGGAGTCCGCAAACTCCCTATTTGTTGCGAGTAAAAAGTTACGGAGGGAGTATTTAAATCCCTTGGCCATTTTGAATGGCACTTACCTAGTTACCTTCATGCATGAATCATGATTCTGATATGACTCTAAATCTCTGCTTGTTTCTACGTTTTCCTTTTTTTTTTTTCTTTTTTTAAAAAAACGTTAGACATGAGTGTTCTAAATCAGAAACCGCTAAGATACAAGACTTATTTTTGTTAGCTTTTCATATCCTAAACAAAAGTGATACAAATAGAGGCACATGAGTATAATAAACATAAAACAATGATTCAAAAGCTATTTACATAACTAAGGGTCTGTTTTCTTCAAATTATTTTCAATTCAGTTCAGCTCTAATAAGTTCATTTTTGTTTAACTCAACTTAGCTCAGCTCAGCTCAGCTCAGTCAATCAGAACAAGCCCTAATTTAAAGAAAAAAGTTATAAAAGTACATTTATCTAGGGGGACTTATATACTGTACACTAGCTTTAAACAAAACCTTTTGCAACTTTCAAGCATACTTTCTCAATAATGATATGCTTCTAAATTTACTCAATTCACAAAATATACAATCTCTGCTTTTAATTTTAGTAAGTAAATACACTCTCTCTTCCCAAAGTATAAGGCTAATTTCCAATATTATGGTTCAAATTTAAAATGCTGACAAAAAAAATAAAATATGCAAAATACATAGTTATGTGAAATATTATTAGATTTGCCTTAAGATGTAGTTTTATGTTGAGCTTATGAGCAAACCTACATGTGAGTCGAAGTGTTATTCCATATTAATTAAGTGTAAAAAATAAAAGAGAGTATTAAAATGTGTATCCCACATTGAAAAAAAAAAAAAGAGAGAGAGAAAATTGTGTCCCATTATATATGGCTAAGGTGCTACTCTCTCATTGGCATAAGATTTGAGATGAAACCTCCTTGAACTTGTGAGATAGATTATCTCTTTTTGGTAACGAGTCCAAATACATTTTATTTGAAGGAATGGACCCTAATTTCAGGCTGCCACCTTACTGAATTGTTAATACGGAGTATTATGTTCACAAAATTATATATTCCCTTTTTTAGAATAGGTTTTTTTTTTAATTATTTTGAGCTTTTATCTATTTTGGAACCTGTCAATGAGGTTATTTGCACTTGCTAATCTACAATCCTATTAACATGGTATCAAAACTCAGATTGAAATGAGTTGTAATATAGACCAATATAGACTACTCATATGAGAGTGAGGGATAATTCAAGTGGTTAGAGCTTCCCTCCCGATTCCAAGAGATCTTGGAATCGATTCTCACCCCGCCCTCGTGACTCTCTAAACACCAAAAAAAAAAAATATAGACTACTCACATGCAAGAGAGAGTATTAAGTCCAAGAGCAAACTCATGATGCTTTTTAACCAACATGAAAATAAGTGTTTAATCTAAAAAAAAAAAAAAAAAAAGTAGAACATACTTGTTCAACCCTTTTTTTGACGTAAATCTTAATGATTGTTGATGGAAGACTTAAGTCAACTTTTATAATTTTACTTTTATTTTACAAGAAATAAAATACTCTATTATCGCCTATAAATTCGTTTATAAGAGAGTGAGATGCCTCACTTCTTCACTACTGGTAGCATTCTCCCCCCAACACCTTCCTTCTTCCTCGAAGCTACTTAAGGGCCCACAATCTCTTTCGCTTTTGTTCACTTTTCACTTTTTTTTTAAAAAAAATAAAATTATTTTACATTTTTTATAAAGCCTAATTCAAAAATGGCACATAAAATCCTATCCACCGGAATTCCTCACAAAAACCTCCCCGATAACTATGTCCGACCCGAATCACAAAGACCCAACTTATCCCAAGTCTCCGAATGTGAGGACGTACCCGTTATCGACTTGGGTTCTAAGGATCTTTCACAAATCCTCGAACAAGTCTCGTATGCTTGTAAGTATTACGGGTTTTTTCAGGTAAGGTTACGTACATCTAAACCTCTTTTTCTATACCACAACTTCACGTATGCATGTACTCTATATGACAAGTCTAATATTGATGCCGAATTTGATTTTATTGATTGGGTAGGTAATCAATCATGGGGTGTCTAAGGAATTTGCTGAGGAGATGCAAAAGGTGGCTAAAGATTTCTTTAATTTGCCAGTTGAGGAAAAACTCAAGTTATATAGTGATGATCCAACAAAAACAATGAGATTGTCAACAAGTTTTAATGTTAAAAAAGAGGAAGTTCATAATTGGAGGGACTATCTTAGGCTCCATTGTTGGCCTCTTGAGCAATATGCGCCCGAGTGGCCTTCTAACCCTCCATCATTCAAGTAAGTACCAACTTCTATTTAATTTCTCACTTAATAAACAAGTTATAATACAAGTTTTTTTTTTGTTCTACGACGAGGAATAAGAATACTGATGTTGACGAAATTTGAAATAAGCTATCAAGACTACATATATTTAATTCGTATCCCGTGTCACTTATTTATGTATTACACATCAACCTCGTAATCTCAATCCGCTTATTCATTTTCTAATCTGTAACTGCTAACTGACACATACTGATTATTTTATATTACCCCGTAGAATATTCAGGATACTTTAGAACCTATAAATAATTGTTATAATTATTAACTGTATTTCTATGGTCTAGTATTTTTAAGCATGTTTTAATGAGATATGTAGTACTCGTATTTTTTTTGGCATTTGCCACATGGGTAGGTTTGTCTTTTAATTCCATAAGAAATAAAAAAATTGTCTTTTAAATGATGTCAATGAGATATTCTTGCCACGCACCTAATATGCGTTAATCAAATAATGCTTTGCATAATTAATTAGTTTTCGGTGATAAAATATACTAGCGGTACGTAGAGTATGACAAAGAGATCCAATATCTACGTCAATCGTCATGTTAGTGAGAAAGCATTACGTTTACATTTTGTTCTTTCTTTTAAAATAACATAGATTATGAATAAAATATTGACCAAATTGATCTTTTAAAGACAAACGCCATTATGAAATAAAGGCAACATAACTCTACTACTTCAACTTCGTCTTCTCTTTGTTTTTCTTACCTTAAATTTTTCATCTTGCAAACAACTTTAAACAGAAATTAGAACTAGCTTAAGCATTTAAAATTGTATTCTTTGACAAGTGTTCCTTTATCCCCTCAATAAACATTGAAAATGGCTTCAAATAACAAATAAAAATAAATAAATAAATAAAAATTAAACATTGAAATTTCTATGCAGATGCTACTACAATCTCACAATTTTATAAAAAATCGAAGTAATGTTGTTAACCTATTTGTAGTTTTAATTCTAATACTCTATGTAATGTAAGGGTCTGTTCTGTTCAGCTTAATTTCAGTTCAACTCAGTTTAGCTCCAATCAATTCAATCCAGTTCACTTTTTTATTTTCTTCTCTCATAAACAATTCATTTCAGCTTCAATCAATTCAGTTGTTTTTCAGTTCATAGAAACAGACCCTTAGAAATATATCTTTATTTATGTTCGCTCTACCATAATGTCTGTTTACCGTGGTTATATGTAGGAATTACGAATGTGGAAAAGTAGTTCGATTAGTAAGGGCTGGATGTGGCCAGTGCCCAACCCATGTGATATTTTTTTGCAAGATAGTAGACAGCCTTTCAAAATTGTTAAGAGTCATAAGCAAGCCCTTACTAATTCACAAGAATAGGCCAAAAGTTCATAAGAAATTGGGAAAAATTAAATGTCTATTTTGCAGCTTTTAAAATTATTACTGTGACTCTTGTGAACTACACTAGTTGCGTAGAAGTTCTCATTCTAGCTTGTCATCATATTTTGTTCTTTATCAAAATCAGGAAAAATGTTAAAATTGTACGTTTTTAATATTGTGGAGTAAAAATGACAATTTTTTTTTTTTAAATTTTTTTTTGTTTGTGGTGTTTAGAAAACCACAAAAATGGGGGTGACCATCAATTATAGAATCAAAAGAGAAACTCTAACCACTTGAGTCATAGCATAGTATACTTATATATATATGCTTGTATTTTAGATGCAAATAACAATCTTTTCCTCAAAAAGTTATAACAAACATAATTTTTTAATTTTTTTAGTGAGTTCATTCATATAATAAAGATAATAAAGATGTACTATTAATTTTTGTGTCAAACTCAAAATAATCATCTTATGAGGTATGATTTTATTAATTGGTTGTTAAACTTACAAGCTAGATTTTATGTTTAAGATAGTCACTTTAACATACAAATATACAATACTCCGTAATACATAGGCTAGCCTTAGAGAATAAACTCTGAGAAAACTATCATAAGTCCCACCAATGCCAAAATTAGATTATAGAGTGATTAGTTTAACATATTTCTAACAACTACCAAATCAAACATTACTAGATGATTATTTTAATTTGATGAAACAGATATGTTTATACTTAAATCTTAAATCACACATCCACCTGTAAAACGCACACAATTAAACATACTATATAATATAAAGTAATCGTTAATAATTATTTACATATAATTGCTCCCAATATCATATAATATCTTACCTACTTCAAAGTTTCATTGTTTTAATTCATAATCAAGATCAAATACATTAAAGACGGAGCAATTGGTGGGATTATTATATAAATTCATTTAATCGGTTCAATCATACTTTTAGTTGCATAGTAAGTCTAAAATTTCGGTTGCCAGTACACATGTCTTGCCCCCCACCTACTCGAAAAACATAATATACCTAGATCTATTTCTAGCCGTTGATCTTAATTTTCAGATCGAATCTATATGATAAGTATCTAACCAATTAATTGTAATCGATGACATAACCTCTATACGTATGCTTACATAACACCTCATGACGCAATATATATGACGTAACCTCTTAAATAATACTCACAAATTACTAATCACTTTAATTTTCAACATTATTTATGCCAACTCTACGTACTCCAACATCTCGAGGTTAGTAATTAGTACGGAGTAATAGAAGTACTAGTTATAAATTTATAATTAACTATAAAGTGTGTAGTTAAAAATTTGACTTAAATTAAGCTATGAACATGATTAATTAATCAAACCTTCTAATGCACTTTATTTTTCAAATTTGATGGTTGAAAAGTTGTAAACCTTACTAGATGGTTAAGACTTTTCTTTGATACTTAAAAGGCTTTTTTTAATCTTTATTTTCAACCATATGATCTCATTTTACAATAAATATGCAATCAAGGCTTCACTATATTGTCCTTTCCCTCATGAACATATTTGGTGGTGATAATTTTAGGTGTCTTATAACCTTTCACAAGCATAGTATTCACATGTTTATTTAAATGCATGTGAATATGCAAATAAGAATTTTTTTACTAGAGGACCACATACCAAGGTTTACTGATAAAGCGCACTCCTGACACACTATTTAACCTGACACGAATCATTATCTCATCAGTTTATTAATGTTCAATAAAAATATGCAGGTCCCACAATATATGTATAGAAGTACTCTGTATAATTTTAAAGCTTTAAGGCAATTAAAATTGTCATTTAATTCTTTTGTCAATTTTATACACCGTCTTCTAGAATGCAAAACTACATCTAGAATGTGGGGCAAAAGTCGTATTATGCATGAACTTGCATGAGCTTTAAGTTAGTTGGACATTATTGAAAGAATTATACTTTGATAGTAAGATGCATTGGTTAAAAGGAGAATGCGAGAAACGTCAAACCCCTGCTAGTTGTTGGAAGATTCAACAAAGGAATGTCTTTATCCGATAAGATTTGCCGGTTGATTTTTTACACTCTATAGATAAGACTAAGAGATAAGAGTCATCCCCTCCTACTTCAATGGTTGATAATTGACATAGTAGAGTAAAAGATGTTGGTCTCGTGTGTGACCGGTCACATCGTGTGACCACTTATTAAACAACAAACTAATTCATATAAATTGATCAAGTAACCCTGTAATACTAACCAAGTAACCCCTATAACACTAATCGAGTAACCCTATAGTACTGACGAAGTAATCCCTTTAACACTGATCAAGTAAACCCTATTGCACTAACGAAGTAAACCCTGTCACACGGTGTGACTAGCCACATATAAGATTTTGTGAAAGAACAAAAATAATATCACTCAATAACTATTTGAACATAATAAAAAATATATATTCATAAAATTATCAATGTATATCATTAGTTCTTCACAAAGTTTTATATGTGGCTAACTATACCGTACCGTCGGAGATTCGAGGTTACTTAATTATGGGTTACTTGGTCAATGTATACCATTAGTTCTTCGCAAAGAAACTAAAAATATACGTACTTGTATGTAAATTAGGAAAATGCTATGCATAATCCTTAAAGCTACATATAAGCGTTAAATTTACATTAGAAAATCCTAACAAGTTAGAAAATCATAAAAATTAAATAGTAATTACACTGATTCACACATGTTTTTGTCATGAATTTCTAATTTTATACAATTTTATAAAGTATATTTAATGATATAACCCTTAAGATTACATATAGCATTAACCCGTAAATACTTTATTTATGGCATTAAATTTCTAACTCCAAAGAGCTCTCTGTAATGTCACTACAAAAAAAAACAGAAGAAAAGTTAAATTTTGGGAAACCTTTATCCCTAGAACTAGAAGGACAAGATTGGATATTTGTGAGATTTGACTAGGTCCTTTTTCGTTGTGGGCCACAAGGCACTGATGTCAAAATAAACTTATGTGGCCCATTAAACGTGGTTTATTATCTACTCCACGTCTCCACTACATCTTTTAGAAGTACACACTACTACTATCTACAGTAAACCCAAGTTATATTGCTTACTTCCGGGTCAGATATGCTTGTGAGAGGCTCCAATTCGATAGAGTCTTCTACTTACTTAAAAAAAAAGTATTCCCCCCGTCCCTTAATAAAATGCCTATTTCTCTTTATTATGTGAGGAACAAATGCTCAAAAAAGACATTATATTAAGGGACGGAGAGAATAGTATATTGCGTACTGTTCCGTATAAGGCCATTGTTATTTGTTAGTCGACAAATTGTGTCGGCCTATTTTCCATATGCATGAACGCATGATTAATTCATCTACTCATATAGTGATATAGTCATATGTGATATGTCTATGCGTCTGGCCTTTAAATCTATATCTATGGTCCACTAATCAATTTTGATTAATTATTAAAGCTTTACATCTAACTTTTGTAATGCTCGACTATATTAAAAAAAAGATAAAAATAAAATAAAATTATATGATGATACGTTTTGTAATGTTTTATTACTCCGTATGTTAATAGCATTTAGATTTAGGTGATAAATTCAATAAATAGTACACGTGGTATGATATGATTATCGGTTGTTATTTTACTCGGTAACTAAAATTGATACGATTATAGATAAGAAAATACTCACACTTTTATTAAAGGGTTGTTCTGATTTATTGAATTGATGAATTGAATTGTTATGAGAGAAAAAATAATTAGAGAACTGAACTAAAATGAACTTAAGTGAACTGAACTGAAATTCAGTTGAAGAGAACAAGTCCTAAGTGTGCCATTTGCACTTTACCCTTGTGAAATATACGGGATACCAAAATGTTACTTGAAATCAATCAACCAATTGGTCATATTGGCATTAAGAAAAAACCCCACGGGTTTATGTCATTTTGAAAATGTATAGTTGGTAATTTTTGGGTATAAAAAGCTTAAAATTTTCAAGCCATTCATATATACAGTGAAGAATAAAGCAAAGTTTGGTGGAGTTGGTGGGGAACTCATTATGTAATTTTGAGGTCATGAGTTCGAGCCTCACCAATTATACAATGCCCAGCTGACTAAACCTGTGAGAGATAACAGTTCTGTAAGACTCTTCATCTTACTTTTAAAAAAAAAAATATACGGAGTAAAGCACCAATAAATGTGTCCATTTCAACGCAAAGACTCAGTCTTCACATACGGAGTACTAATCATGAATTCATGATAGTCCCACATCTAGCTAGTACTGTGGTGGCTTGGATTCTAATAGGAATAAGAGGCTGTGAGGTTGTGTAGTGTCTACCACTAGTATAGTTTCCGGTTGTTAATGAGACCAGGTCTTTTCTTTGTTTGCAGATTTGATGTTTACACCAAGTTCATCCAAACAAATTATTTTAATGAACTTGTTTCTTACTCCATACATAACATGGTTGCGTGGAAGCTGCTCTTCTACTCGAATTTACTGACCAATTGAGTTGACAAAGACGCTTGAACAATGTCCGGTTGTTCTACTACATAACTAATAGTGGCATAATTAATTAATTTAAGAATGTTGGAAAAAAGTTGTCACGTTTTGATAGAGATCGTGGTTTAAGATTTAATTTTTACTTATATACGCACCTCACTATTAAATGTACAACTTGGTACGGAGTATGTTTTTACGTGCAAATTCTCACTTTGTGTAAAATTTTGGCAGGGAAATAGTAAGCAAGTACATAAAAGAAGTTCGAGAACTAGGATTCAGAATACAGGAACTAATATCAGAGAGCTTAGGATTGGAGAAGGATTACATAAAGAATGTCCTAGGAGATCAAGGACAACACATGGCTCTTAACTATTACCCCGAGTGTCCGGAGCCGGAGTTGACGTACGGGTTGCCGGGTCATACGGATCCGAATGCCCTTACCATCCTTCTACAAGACTTGCAAGTATCTGGCCTACAAATCTTCAAGGATGGTAAATGGGTTGCTGTCAAACCTCAACCTGACGCATTTGTCATTAACATTGGTGATCAATTGCAGGTAATTTAATTTACATACACTTATTGATACACATAAAAATATACTAGTACTATTAGAAAACGTGACAAAAAAATAAAAAATAATAAAAAATCTTAATGATTATTATTTTGATTTGATCAATTATTTTCTACGGAGTACGTTGCAACATGTGATAAAGTTTGAACGGTGCCTAGTAATTCAAGCTGACATGAATCATGGTATGCTAGTTGATTTTCTGAACTATGACTAGTTGATATGACTAGTACCGTTTATAAACCACATGTAACAACTATAAAAAGTGAAGAATAATTGATCTTATATTCACGAGCTGTAGACAATTTTGTAGTACGGACAATTGATCATATAGTACATCCATGTGTTTCAAAATACGGAGTAATCGTGTTTCAGCCGTTTCTATCTACTACCTTCATTAATTATTATGTGCATGAGAAAAGAGTAAAAATAAATATAATAGTTCGTGTTATAAGTTTAGTAGTAGTCGTGTACTTGACGGGTTCAAGTTATAAGAATCTGCCGAATCTATTTTATGAGTACACATATTGGGCCTTCAGGTAACCAGGCCCAACCAATAAGTACAAGATAATATAAGGGCTGGACCCTTTCTTTTTTGCTTGAATTGTGTATATACATATATATATAGACTACATAATTTGATTAATAAGGGACTAGTTTCAGGCATTGAGTAACGGTATATACAAGAGTGTATGGCACAGAGCAGTTGTGAACACAGATAAGCCAAGATTATCAGTAGCTTCATTCCTCTGCCCTTCCAATGATGCATTGATCAGCGCGCCACCACCTCTCACCGCCAACGGATCACCAGCCATGTACCGGGACTTCACATATCCTGAGTACTACAAGACTTTCTGGAGTAGGAACTTAGACCAAGAGCATTGTTTGGAGCTTTTTAAGAACCAAACCTAGCTAATTTATGTACTATGTACTATGTTATATGTATCATCCAGAGTTAGGTTGAAGCATATCTTTGTATGTCTTGAGTGTTCTCTGTATTGTTCTCAGTAAACTTTTTTTTTTTACTGTCGCTTAATTATGTTTAATTTGGTTTGTGAAAATTGTAACGAAGCTAGTAGTAGCTAGACAAATAATATATGTTCAATAAAATTTGGATTAGTTATTCTACATATAAATCTATACAATTAAAAAAAAACTCTGTGTACATTCTTAATATCATCCATGGTAAGATTAAACTAAAGTATTTAAGGTAAATTAGTAAAAGTAGTTTACATGTTTACCAAAAAAAAAAAAAAAAAAAAGGCTAAAAAAGGCTTAGTTGAAAACAAATGATCAATCATAATCTTGAGTGCACATTTGAGAAACTAGCTCTATTGGAAATTAATGGAGTTATATTGACATTGGTAATAATTTTACAATAGCAAATAAATACGATAGCTTTTTTTTTATAAGACAATAAATACGTAGTATGATAGCTTATGTGCACTTAAATGTATACGATGATGAAATACTTCACGCGAATGACTAGATTGTCATCTCTACCTCTGATCACGTCAAATAGAGTTAAGGACATGTTCTCTTCAGCTTATTTTCAGTTCAGTTTAGTTTAGCTCCAATAAGTTCATTTCAGTTTAGCTCCAAACAGTTCAATTCAGTAAATCAGAATAGATTCTTAATAACCAAGTTAAGGAAAAGGCACAGTACATAATTTTAACAGTGAAGAGAAAACCTGAATGCCAACACATATAATTGTTTGATTGGCCAACCTAGCCTTATTATTCTTAATGGTGATTGTATTCTAGTTACATGAAGTTAGCCTAGCTAGTTTTTCTTGAACAACTCCACGACCTTAGCATTGTAGGCAGAGCATACAACTTGGAAGCCTTGAAACCCGGCTGCCAACGCTAACGCCTCGAACTCCTTCTCAGTCCTTTCTTTGCCCCCAGTTGTAGCCATCATGACCATATCGAGTTGAAGGATTGAATTGGCTTCTACGCTAGTCGTGGTTTCTTGTGGATCTAGATGAACGCCTTCGCAAATTATAACCTTGCCGTGGTCCTCCGGAAGGGCATCGTAGCAATTCTTCAGGATCATAATGCATGCCTCATCTTTAAAACAATGACAAATCCACTACAAATAAACTCTTTATTAGCTCACCAAACTAACGGTAAGTTGGAGTAATACATGTACATTAGATTTGTACATGAATTTGCACTGTGTTTAGATAATTACTGTTTCCTCTGTTTCATATTATTTTTCCCACTTTAACTAATTTTGTCTATGTAAAAGTGAGAAGAACAATGTGAATCGAAGAAAGTACTATTATATCATGGAAAATCATCTTTAGTATCACCACTTAATGTTCGACGACAAATCTGATGAAAGCCTCACACAGATATGTGGTTCTAAATAAGTAAATATAATTGATTTGGCACAAGTTAAATTCAGAATTAAAGGTTCAAAGGTTATATATCATACCTTTAGGAATATGGCGTCGCCTTTGGGGATGTTGCCAAATATGTTTCCTCCAACATGTTTCACACCTAAGTATATATTAGAGGAAGGAATTATTCACTCCTGATCAAGTCCAATATGGCCGGAAATGGAAATCTTTAGCTATTGATTTAAGACATATTCTAACAACAGCCATTATGTACGAATTACAATACATAAACAAATGCACACTAACATAATAATTTGGTTGACAACATAAATTAGAAATACTTGTATGATGTAATTATGCAACTTCAATTCATTCATAGGCTAGAAGTACACTTTTTCATACGAGTTATACTTTTTGTCTTCTCATACTTTTATCGGTCAAACATGTGTCTTTACACATAATATCTACTTTTCGTAGAAAAATCAATTGAGTATAGAAAGAAGATGGAGTATAATTACCAGGATATGATGGAGCATTAGCGACAACAGGAGGTTGATCAAAGTTGATGCCCTTAATATTAGGGTATTGAGAAAGGATCATAGAGAGGGTAGCTCCATTACCACCACCAACATCAACCAACGTAGAAATACCCTCAAATCCTTTATAAGTCCTCAAGATTTTGCGCATGATAAGGATAGAGTGGCTTGCCATTCCTTCATGAAACTCCTCACGACGCTCCGCCTTCTCCCCAAAATACTCGTAATAGCTCATCCCATGAGCTTTGCTGAATGGTTCTACGCCTTCAACCACCGCATCCTTTAAGAACAGCCTACATACAACACACACAAAAAAAAAAAAAAAAAAAAAAAAAAAAAAAGAAAAAAGCGAAGAATCAATTAATCAACTTTAGGGTGGTTTAACATCAAAAGTATACAGCATACGAAGTATGTCATTTGTTTACAAACAAGTTTAACATACATACGTACTACCCTGTCAATAATAGAGTAGTGTGTCTATGTATTAGCGTATACACAACTATATATCAATCAGATTTTAGAAATTAAACTCGAAAGTTGGAAAACAAGAAAGCAATTTTTTGTGGGAAAGGAAATCAGAAAAAAAAAACGAGATGAAGTAAACCAAGATCCAACAATTCGCTAGAAATAAGAATGTTAGGGTTTAGAATTTTTTTTAGAGTGTTATTGGCTCTGATACCATGTCAATAATAGAGAGATTAGAGAGAATAGAATAGTGTGTCTATGTATTAGCGTATACACAAGTACATGTATATACAACCTATGAGGTTAGGGCTCGAAACATAACAACGACCCATTAGCTATACATATTATATGGCCTAACATACTCCTCTAGATATTTATTACTCGTATATAATACTTTCTCTCATCTTTAATTCTTTTTAATTCTATGTTGGACAATAATACACGTGATTTAGGGACATTAATAGGTTTCAACAGCTTGGAGCATTTTCTGGTATCATATGATACATTAATGGCAAATTGACAATGAATGTTGGCGTCGTTTTATACAATAAGAGTTATTTTTGTTGCTAGAGGTGACATCAAATTGTGAAACATAGCAGAAATTAGGCAGTCAACATTAATGGACTTTTCAATGATAATTAAATAATGATGCCCATTTCCCAAGCAATTTATGCAGAATTAGCATCAATGAAATTAAAATGCGTGCCTTATATACTTAAACTCTTATTTTATTCAGATAGTAAATATAAATCTCGTTTCTACTACTCGTACTTCTTTTTAATCCCTCCATATCATATAATGGATTAATCAATTTGCCAACATATACTATAAAATGTAAAATATCTTTAATTACGTATAAGTAAAAATTATAAAAAATTAATTAGTTAAAAAATAGACTTTTGAGACAAATCTAACCGAGCTCACATGACTATATATTTTTCTTACACTGCATAATCACAAAGATACCTCAAAGTAAGTTATGTGAATTGAATAATGCATAAATTAAAATAAAATAAATGTCCCCCAAAAAGGAAGGAAATATGTTCTTTTGATTAAGCTAACATTTAAAAAAGCTACAACAAAAATGTGAGTGGTTTTGTTTTTGTTTTTTTTTTTAATTTTTTTTTATTTAAGTTTAGTAAACATAAGTAGGTTTAGCACACATAATAAATAAATCTTGTTGAAAAATACTTGTACTTCATAATAAGTTTACTTACGAGCTCTCGATCATAGCCTTGTACATAGAAACTTTAGGAGCCAATGAAATGCCATCCTCATCAGGAGTCAAGAATTTGCAAGCAGGTGCAAGTCCATAACGCCTTTGGCCTGTACCATCAGGGAGGGTCACAAAAGTGGCAGTGAGCACAGATTGGCCTACTAACAAGTCGAGCATGCGGCCGAGGGCAGCAGCCGTTGCCCCCGGGTTCACGGTAGGCAGCTTGGCTGCTATCTCGGCTGCTGTTAAAGGTGCATTAGGCCCACTTTTTGTATGACCTCAAAAACTTTGAGATCTTTTACAGCTTTGAATACACCAAAGGTGATACTTGCAGTAACTAGGGACGCAGCTAAGCAAAATCCTTCGGTTTCTTCTGCTGCTCCCAAGTTCCAATATGGGTTGGTTATTGGCTCCACATTGTTGTTTGTGTTTGAGGCCATTTGTTTTTTACTTTTTCAATTTAGAATTAGGAGCTTAGAGTTATAAATGTAATATGGTTTTTATACTCTATCACTTGCGTATCATAGATGAAACCTTTATAATGGTCGATGCACAAATATTTTGTAAATTTATTAAATGAAACATATGTATTGAAATGAATCCATCCATATAAATATAATAAAAGTGGAGGTATGTAGACAGGGTACTCGGTGTGTGACAGTGGCGGATCCAGGAATTGTACCTAGGGGGTTCGAATTTTATCAAACACCCAATGTCCGAATGCACGGATATAAATCGGGTATTCAAGTATAAAATAAAGTGTTTAAATAAATACCAATACACAAGTACACAACACTACAATAATTAAAAAAAATTGATGATTTTTTACATTTATTCCAAAAATGCTCCAAACTTTTTAGGTGGTCACAGACTACAATAATTAAAAATAAATAAAATTCAGGAGTACTAAACTGCCCAATTAAAGTTAACAATATAACAAAACAACAAACAAAAACTCACAAATAGCATATTCAGTATTAAATTAACATTATACAATTGAAAAACAATATATAATTGACAATAATTCAATTCATTAATCAAACAACTACAACAAATAACAAATTTACACTTAAAAGAAAAAGATTAAAATTGAGAAATTCGAAGAGCTATGCTGCCATGGCGGATTTTCGATTAAAAAAAAAAACAAAGAAAACAGGGAAGATGAAAATTGAGAAATTCGAAGAAAATTTCGAGCAATTAAGACATGGGTCTTCTTTCAGAAATCAATGAAAACACAGATTATTTTAGGAGAGAGAAAAGAAAGAGAAACTGAGGAGTAGGATAAAAAAAAGGAGAAAATTGAAAAGAAAAAAAAAAAACTTAGAATGCATCTAATGTCTATACTAAGTCTCGAACACAAGACCTTTTGTCCAAAACTAACTACTCTATCCAACTGAGCTGCGCGGTTAACGTGTTGTATGATTGTTTTGAATATTATTTATATAGTGTTTCTGTTAGTTTTTTTTAAAACCCCATTTTTTCCCGGATCTAACGGGGTTCAGTTGAACCCCCGCTAGATCCGCCACTGGTGTGTGAGGAGTGAAGAAGACTAAGGAAAGATATATACTACGTAATAAAGAAAGTGATGCTCTTAAAAATAAAGGGCGATATAAGAAAGTGACATTTCGTGCCTTCTCTCTCAATCTCCTCATCTTAAATTTCGTGCCTTGCTCCCCTGTAGCTCAAATATGGCGATCTTGATGAAGACAACCCTTGTACGGTTGTACCTTATCTTTTGGGTCTGGGTTGATAGATCACAATTCTGCATCCTTGGAATAAATGTTTATTGACAAATCACGTCATTGTTATTATATTACGAGGATATTTTGTATCATTATGACTTTTTGAGTATTATTTTTATTGTTTTTGGGTAACCAATAATAAGATGTACTCTTTTTTTTTTTTTGAATAGTAATAAGATGTGCTCTTTATAACAATTTTTTCTTGAAATTTTCATCATACACCATGGTGTACTATGCTCATGGTACACCCTCTTAGAATACAAGAGTTATATAAACGCAGAAAGAACACATCGTGTGCAAATACAAAGTACACGAGTAAGAAAAAATGATTATTTCCTTGATTTAAGGTATTAATTTGTTATTTATATTCCTTGATTTATGAAATTGATTTATTATTTATACTCTATATTACTTTTGGAATATAGAATATCATTTATTTGTTAAGAGAGAGAAATGGAGTTTTTATAGAGAGAGAAGCCATGATAAATTTTGGATTTCGAAGTGATTTAATGTTATTACGGAGTTGATTGTCCCATGATTCTTTTAATTGAAAGGTGTAATTGACGAATTTGTTGTTGAAGAGAAACATTTTTCAATTTTTTTAATCTATTTTTCTGTTTTGGTAATATTTTCAAAGGTTGAAGATGATGTTCTTCTGATGAATGTTCTTTTATCATTTTTTTAAACGGAATCTTAGAAGTAGGTTTTTTTTTTTTTTTCCTTTTCTATTTTTATGGAAAGAGAACTATATTAAACATATATATCACTCAACTCAAACATCTTACAAGTATTTCTTGAAACAAACTTTACAAACCAAAATTTATAACAATCAAAGTGAACGAAATTTCAAACAATATATAGTATTTCTTAGTAACCTCAACCAATAAATGTGACAATGTAGTTTAATTATCATAATGACCATGTAATAATAAGACCGTGACCTAAATTGTCTTGAGCAACTCAATGATCTGAACATTATAGGCTGAGCAAATAACTTGGAAGCCTTGAAATCCAGCAGCAAACGCTAACTCCTTGAACTCATTCTCAGTCCTTTCTTTCCCTCCAGGCAAAACCATCATCACTATGTCGAATTGAACGACGGAATTGGCAGCTATGTCGTTCGATGCTTCATCTGGATTAGGAAGGATGTATTCGCAAACAATAACCTTGCCATGGTTTGGAAGGGCATTGTAACAATTCTTTAGGATCTTCATACATGCTTCGTCACCAAAACAATGCAATATCCACTGAAAATTAAACAAACTCAATTAAACTTTTGATCAATAAGGTTATTGATAGACTATATAATACATGTTAATTTAAAGGACCAACCCAACTAAAAACTTGACGACTTTTGTAACGTACCTTGAGAAAGATGGCATCACCTTTGGGAATATCCACAAACATATCTCCTCCAACGTGTTTCACATCTGTTTGAAATCAAGCATTAATATATATAAATATATAATAGGATTAAGGCTTTGATTGATTGATTGTCGAACTGTATGTACAGAGCAACACGAAAGTAGTGGTTAATCATTGTAATTACGTAGTAAAAATTTACCAGGATTAGATAATGCATCTGCTATGACATGAGGTTGATCGAAGTTAATCCCTTTGATAGATGGATACCGCGAAAGGATCATGTTGAGTGTAGCTCCATTACCCCCACCAACATCGACCAACGATGATAGACCCTCGAAACCCTTGTATGTCCTTATAATTTTGCGCATAACAAGGGTTGAATGATCAGACATTGCCTTATGGAACCCTGCGCGATACTCGGGGTTTTTGCCAATGTACTCATACATACTCATTCCATGCGCCTTTGTGAATGGCTCTTCTCCTTCAAGAATTGCATCTTTTAAGGATAGGCTGCAAAGTTAAAAAATTACACAATTATTATTAAATGCATATTACAAAGTTTTTTTTTTTTTTTTTTTTTTTTTTTTTTTTGGTAAGCTAGTAGAAGGGTTGTACCCGCCTATCAGGTCGGAATTTTTTATAGGTCAACCCAACTTGAATTAGCGTGCTAGGTTATTTAACAGTGTTTTTTTTATTTTTTTATTTTTTTTTTGGGGGGGGGGGGGTGGTTTCTCTAGTGAAGTTTAATCGATATGCAAACTTTCTCGCTAGCAAGGCTTGGTGACATGACTCTTGACCAGGATTTTTATTGAACATTTTGTTTCTATAAAAATTCCTTAAAACTTTTTAAAATTACAATTTCTATGGTTAAGACTCGAGAGTAAGGTGAAACGAATGAGCTATCTATTCTACTACTATGTAGTACGATCGACAAGCTTTCGAGGCATGGCTAGGAGATCGAGTAGGAGTAATCAAAACACATAAAATTAACAACTTACCAGCTCGTTTTCAAAGCTTTATATAGCAACGTATTTGTAAAAGGACTCAAAGAAACACCATCCTCATTCGACGTAAAAAATTTACAAACAGGTGCAAGACCATACCGTCTCTCTACCCTCCCATTCGGGAGGGTAATAGGAGAGACGGTAATGATGGAGTGACTAACCAAGTAGTCAAGCAAGCGACCAAGGTTAACCGCTGCAACCTCAGGGTCCTTGGCAGGCAACTTAGCCACAATCTCAGCCGCTGATAGGTGTGCTCGAGGACCACACTTCTTGATGGTCTCGAACACATCAAGGTCATTCACGACTTTTAATACCTCAAACTTAACATTATCACCAAGTAAAGAAAAGGCAACAAATGATGCTTCTTCCTCTTCTTTTTCACTAAGATCCCAATAAGTGTTCATTTTTGTGAACTTTTGTATGTTTTAGGAAAGAAGTATGATGCAGTATTCTAACAGGTTATAGTGTAAAATAAAAAAGAGTATGTAAAATGTATGATGCAAAATTGTAACAGATTATGTAGCCATATATATTGATTTAATGCGGCGCTTTTTTATTTGACTTCTTCAAAGCAAAATTTTCCAGAGGAGAAAATTTGGAAATTGTTTTTTTTTTTTTGGAAAATTTGGAAATTGAATGTCAAAAAAGCCATATTTGATTGACTTGTGACTTTGTGAGCTACTCTAAGCTTATCTTCAAGTGATATAAGTACAGATATTATTTGGTCCGAGTTCTAGAATTAGGACTTCTAAAAGAGGACATATTAGTCCTACAAGGTGTACAGTATACTAAGATAATTGACTGACTTTTGAGTTTTGAGGTTGGAGTTATTTATGAAATAACGATTGATTACATTTCTATCTCTTAAAAGTATTCCATTTGACTTTTATTGTCTATAAAACAAATTTAAAACAATTTACTTGTAGTTTCAGTTTTTTTATGCCTCTTCGTCATTGTATAATTATTGATACTCCACAATTTGGTCTTTAAAAATACAATGGTCAGTCTTTTAAGAATGGAAGGAGTACGTCTCAAACGATACGTTTGTCACATAAAACATAAATTTTGCGAATTTAACCTATTAAAGCATGTAATTTGTACTCCTTTCGTCTCCGAAAGAACGACTCATTTGGGTTGATTTTGTGAGATGGCACAAAGATCTTGGGATCTACTATGCATAATAATAGGCCCTAATAATATGGGTCATTCTTTTAGAGACGGAGGGAGTATTAAATTTCAAGACAATATGAAATGGGCATGGGCTACGACCCTAACAAGGAGGAGGCGAGTTCGGTCCACAAACAAGGCTTAGAAGATTCCATACTAAAACCAATTGACAATAGTAGGACTTACTCCTCTACCTTATAAAGTGAAACCATCTCTCCTCTTTCTCCAATATTGGACACTCACAAGTGAACTATATTGGGTTTAATTTCAACAATTTGTGGTGATCAACCTTCTTGTATACTTGTTGATTGATCACTTGACTTGTTGTTTACATGACGTTTCCCATAATAACTAAACTTTTCTTTGTAATTGCATTGTGTAATGAGATGAATGCAAGATATTTTTTTTCCTAAACAATCATAATCTTATTTTCAATTAAGTAATTTTATTTTAAGCCACAAATGATAATATATAATTGATGTACAAGTATTGACTATTAAAACTTTTTAGTTGAAATTCGGTAAAAAGATTGATCATTTTATTACTTATATAGGGAAGCACCTTTGATGAGGTGACCACATGATTATAACTCACAAGTATACAACATCTTATAAAAATCATAACCCCATACACAAAATCAGACCCATAAAATTCTTAGTATGCATGTAATTAAGCTGAATTAAAATCCAATGTGCTTGATTGATTGATTAATTAAGCTGCCTTTTTCAAAAATTCCATGACCTTAGTGTCATAAGCAGAGCAAGCCACTCTAAATCCTTCAAATCCTGCTCCTTTAGCCAACGATTCAAACTCTTGTTCGGTCCTTTCTTTCCCACCCGGGTTGTGTGCCAACATGATCGCGTCAACATGGAAGACTGTCCTAGCCGCGTGGCTAGTTTCTGGTGCCACTGGGAGGATGTACTCACAGACAATCACCTTGCCATGGTCTGGCAAGGAAGCATAGCAATTCTTCAAGAACTTTAGGCAATGCTCGTCGCTCCAATCGTGGCAAATCCACTACAAATCAAGGAATTAAATCTCACAAGCTATTAAAACTAATGGTCTTACTATTGAAAAAATTATAGCTACTATTACTTGTACTATACACTAATTAGCAAACAATGTTAATTTAAATTAAGTAGAAATCTACCTTCATGAACATAGCATCTCCTTTTGGTACACTTGCGAACATGTCTCCTCCAACGTGCTCCACTCCTAAATATTGTACAAATGTTATTGTGATTCATATATAGAATATACTACCTCCGTTAACATTTACTTGCAACTTTGGGGTATTATTTGAGAGACATAAAATATTCCAAAGTTACAGGTAAATGTTAACGGAGGTAGTAGATACAATTATATAAAAAGTTGATAGTTTTGATGCTCTTAGTAGTAGGGTGTATAGAGAGAATGTTGTTTAGTACCGTTATATGTGGGTGCATCTTCGATAACATGAGGCAAATCGAAGTTGATACCCTTAATAGTAGAGTGTTTAGAGAGGATCATGTTAAGAGTAGCACCAGTGCCACCTCCAACATCAACCAAGGTTGAGAGACCCTCGAAACCTTTGTAAGTATCGAGGATTCGTTTCATAGTAATGGTAGAGTGGTTCGACATTCCATTGTTGAAGACTTTGTTGAATCTAGGATCTGTTCCATGGTAGTCAAATGCTGTCATTCCATAAGCTTTGTTAAATGGAATGCCACCATCAAGAACTGCATCCTTTAGGTGGTACCTAAAAACAAAAGGAAATGAGATTCAGATTTATGTTCTAAAAGAAATTTGATAAATTTGGATGTTGCACAAATAAATTTTTGAGTACACATTATTTTTGGTCCATACTATTGGGCTTTGTGAGATGTGTCCAGGTTTCTTAGATCAACCCACTTACTATTTTTTTTTTTTTTTTTAATCTCACAACATTTAGTTTTATTCATATATACAAAAAAAGGTTTTTTTTTAATAAAAAAATGATAAATTTGTAAACTCTGTCTCTATTTGTTTCCCCATATTCTATATATGGATGTCCCTTAAAGGTTGCTCTATTTTCTTCCCCGCCATCAACCTCACCTGCAAACACTCATAAAACTGTAAAGGACAACGATACCTCAATCCACTTGCAAACTTTGATTCAATTGTTAATAAAATATATTTTGCCTATGGAGCAAACAAATAGAGACAAAGGGAGTATTAGATAAATTGTAATACATCCTTCTGTATAACTATGAAACTATTTAAGTTCTATGTAATGAAATAAGCATAGATAAAATAATTCATTGTGTCACACAAATTATTTGAATCAAACCGAACAATAGAGATACTTAAGTTATTGTGTGTGAACAAGCAACAATTTGAGTGGCAACCTTGATCGATTGCCCATCCACCTAATACTGGTCCCATTTTTAATCCACATTATCTCGCATTATACTTTTGACTTATGACTCATATTTTAATTATCATCTTCCTAATCTTTTGCACTTTAAAGTTCGCTTCATATTTTTCAGTAGCACCCATTTTGTCAAAGTCAAACTTTGTATTATAATTCCTAATTCAACTTTTCCAAATTCATACCAACCTCCCTAGAAAAATTTATCACATGAGGAATAATTAATAAATTATTGATACAAAAAAGAAAAGAATTATATGGTGAAAAGGTATATTTAATTGAAAGAAAAGAGGAATATTTAAAATAAATTCTTAGAATTTAAAGGTATTTCAATAATTTAAAATATTAATGTGTCGTCTATATTCCTTTTAATTGAAAGTTAGATAGATACTATCAATCTATCACTATTATGTAGAGAGCATCCTAAATCCCTTTTATATAAGATGAAAGTAACTAAACCTTGTACTACACTAAGAACTAGATAGTATATGTTATTAATTCTTTAATGTCACAAAAACATGAAGCTAGTGAGTTTAGAATTGCTATCTATAATTGTGTTGAAGCAATACTAACAAATTTCAAACTACTTAATTTATTTTAATCCTTTTATAGAGCTAAAAATCAAGTTAGTTAAAATGAGTTGTCACATTATCTCAATTCTTATTTTCGAACATTCACCATAATTTCAATAAAAACAAAAAAGTTATACATTAAAATAATCGCGGTCTTCTCATCCTGTATTAGTTAATTAGGTCGGTTTGAATTCATAATTATAATCTAAATCTATTTAAGAAAATGCAATTTCTTGTTCAAAGTTCTAACAAAGAAATCGTGAAAGTTATTACATGAGAGAATATTAAGAATCGGTACCAAGTATATTTCGTTTGTGACAAAAAAATTTCACTCGAGCTGATATAGACACAAAACTAAGTGTCCTCAATTTGGAAATATTAAGGTTGTTTTTTTCTTAAAAAAAATATATGATTGGTTGGAGTAAAAGGAAATTACCAACTTTCCATGAGAACCTTATCTTGGTTCATAAGAGACAGAGTACCCAAAGTGACACCATCTTCATTCTTGGTCAAGAATTGGCAAACCGGGGCAAGCCCATATAGCCTTTCAACCCGTCCATCGGGCCGGGTTTGAAGGGTGTAAGATAGGATTGAATAGCTAGCTAGAAGCCTGAGCATCCTATCCAACATGTTGACAGCATCCGGGTTCTTAGAAGGTAATTGGGCCGTAATCTCGGCCGGTGAAAGATGGGCACCCGGCCCGGCCCGTTTGATGATCTCAAGTACATCAAGCTCAATCACTGCCTTAAGAACCATGGGCGGGACCGACCCGCTTGTGACCGTCATGGCGAATGAGCACGCCTCGTCTTCCCCCATTTGGGTGTTTTGTGTTGAGGTTGATCCCATTTTTTGGTCTTGGTTTGTGAGGATATATAAAAATTAAACAAAAACAGAGGGAAAAAAACAGGGGAAAACAGGGGAAATGAGAGGGTAGTGAAGTGAGAAGTGGGGAGAGGGGTGTATTGTGTATATATTGGGTGATCAAGTCTCACCCACCAACAACCACTACTACAAAGTTGGTTATGCTCAAAGCACAATTGGTTACTTTTTGTAGTGTGGGGGCCAATATTGAGTAGTTTATCTTTCTTGCCAAACATATGAGTTTGTATAATATTGTCTAGCTTATTTGAGATAGATAGTTATGATTATGATGGTGAAAATGATGATTTCTTCCCACTTCAATTACCTCTAGAAAGTAGGAACTCATCAATTTATGTCATAATTTGCAAAAGATTCAACTTCCTTAGCACTTACCCATATTCAAATCTATAAATAAACCATTATGGAATGGATAATTTCATAAATGTTTTTTACTCTAGATTTTTTTTCAAAGTTAATTTTCAAGATGAAACAAATAATAATAATAATAATAATTAATTTTATTATTATTATTATTTTTAAGAAAATAATAAAAAAATTATGCTTTACAAAATCTAGATGACTTATTTCAATACCGTGCCTAATGCGCTTTGAAACGGAAATATGCTCATTATTTATGTGGCAATATTGAACGTGTTGTGATTTTGCGAATTGTCACACTAAAGCAAAAATGATCATATTATATAAATATGATGGGTTTGATTTTGTAATTGTATTGTCTAACCTTAATTCTTGAAATTTTAAATTAATTGGAGCGCATAATTATGAATTTATGATATATATGTGTTTCTATATGATGTTACGAATTGGATTAAACATAGGACCATGCATGAAGTACATCAAAAAAAAAAAAGTTGTAACTGAAGAATCCAAGTTTGGAGTAAATGTTACCCTTGATCGTTTGTCACTGAAAAATAAGTTGGGCATATATTTGAATAGTGTATCTGTGACTCGGCAACTCCCTCACCAACCCTTCACCAACTCCTGTGGGACTAAAGGAATGTAGAAAGGAAAACAAAATCATACTACTACTTTGTATTGATTTTCGTCTCAATCATTACTGTTGATATTTTAATTTTTTCTATAGTTTGATTACTTGAAGTGTGAAACTATTGATGAGCTTTTGTTTCAAAGACCTTTTTCTACCAATGTTTGGTAAATGAAACTGGATGGAATTCTCTTGTGCATAGCAAATTTTTGTTTCTAGGCATCACGTTGTTTATACTCCCTTTGTCTGTTTATGAGTACTTTTCAATTATTTTTCTTACTCCAATTTTTTTTATAATTAATTTTTGAAAATATTAAAGTATATGGGTAATGATACATGCAACTCTTAGGGTTACATATAAGCATAAAAATGCATTTTCTTAAATGTTACTAATATTTGAACATTTACTACAAATCACGCATTGATTGATGTAATTAATGTTTAATAATTTTTTATTAGTAGCTATTTAGGGCGATGTTTATAAATTTTTATTTATTTATTTTTATTATTACTACGTACATACAGAGTATTTTTCAATTATTATGGCATGACACATTTTGCTTGTGAAAAGTTTCACTAGTATCTTATCTTCTCAATTATACGATAGGCAAGAGCTTATATGGCATAATTTTTCTTAGTTGGTAGGATTTTGACTTATTTGACATTTTGACCTTTCCTTGAATTTTGGCTTGGCATTTTACTCTTGATTGACTACGTATGGAGTAATAGTAAATTCAATAACTGTACAATTTGAAGCGACTTTGTAACTAATTGACCTACCATTAAAAGATCAAGTTTTGTGCTTAATAAGCTAAGATATCGATGTACCAATCATATTGAGTTCATTGTAGCATATGAGCCTAACCCATGGAAGAGAGAAACTGCCATCATTTTTGTCTGTTTTGTGGATCACTATTGAAATCATGGTTAATGTGTAATAATTAACAAAAAAGGAAAGTACTAAAACCAAACATAGTAGAGGAGATAGTAAGTTTTGATTATTTGACCAACCATTTGAAGTACGTAGTATTAAAAATTTTCCAAGGGACAAACCAAAACCGTAATTGAAACAAATATCAACATAAAGAATATACTCATATAGTGATTAATTAAAGTTTTTCTCCCGATTTCAAGAAATTCTAATATCAATTTACCCATCTTTATGACTCTTAAAAAAAATAAATAAAAAAAAATAAAAATTGACCGAAAAAGTCAAATTTTAACTCGCACTATTCTTATGTAAACCCAAAAAATAAAAAATACAAATTTTGTTAAAAGGGCCTAAAATATGATGATCCATCAACCTTGTTTACTGACCCACGTCCAAGGCTCAAGCCCATCAATCAAATTTTGTAAGGAACACTCACAAACTCACTCCAACGGTCATATTTCATGTTCCCAATACCACGATTTCAAGAACCATCTTCAGATTCTTCACCAACTCATCAATTACATCACTCCGCTCCCTCAAATCTCAAAACTCAAAAATCCATCAAAATTCTATTTTTAAACTTAAATAATCTAAAATGGGTGTTAAAAAATTGAACAATTCAATCGAATTATCGCCATCTTTAGAAGATGATTCCCCAATTAGAGCAGTTTTCTGCCTGAAAAACAAAACAATTGATATGAAAAAGATTGAAGAACTTGAAGATTGCTTCATTTTGGATTTTGATCCTTCTGAACCTGCAGATTTTTCCACACTTTCTCTCTCTAAAAGTTCAGATCTTTGCGACGATAAAGATTTCTCCGTTCTTGCTGAAAATGGCCAGGTATTTTCCAATTCCATTTTATTTTTCTTCAAATTCTTAGTCATTTTCGTTAAATTAACAAGAAATTATGAAATATATTTGATTTAAATTAATGTAAATCAATTCAATTTCAGGTGGCTTGTAGAGATTTCCCACATCCAAGACATCTCTGTGTTAAATTCCCATTTGAGAAAACACCCCATGAATCACATTGCAAAATGGTATAATTTTTTTTCCCAAAAAATTTGATAATTTTGGGGGTTTTTAATTTGATTAATTTGAATATTTTGACAGTGTTATTGCTATGTATGTGAAATGGCGGCGCCTTGCAAAGAATGGACAAAAGGGTTGAAGCATTGTGATGCAACTAATGATGATGATGAAATCTGGAAGTTGCTAAAGGCTAAAAAAACCGAAGCTTAAAACCCCTAATTAATGGAGAATGCTACTAGTTAAATTTTTGGCTACTTTTTGTAAAGTTGAAAGATTTCAAGTCAAATTCATGCTTAGAATTGGCTTATGGTAGTGACTAGTAGCAATTAGAGTTGCATTTTGTTATAACTTAAAAGGATATGCAACTCTTAGTTGTAATGTTTTGCTAAGAAGTGTAGATATAAAGTTATGTTATGGTAATGGTAAATGATTATTTGTCACAAAGTATGAGATTTTGGTTCAATTTTCTACATTTTCTCTTCTTTATTTATTTATTATTTTTTTACTCTACCCCTAACCACAGTATTAAAAAAAAAAAAAAATTGATCTTTTATCTAAAATTGTTGGTGAAATGTTTTATCAGCTTAAAGCTTCTGCCTTATCCAACACTATACATAAATAATGAACACAAACTTTTAAATAAAACGGATGTTCAGTAAATTACTGAACATCCGTTATAAAATGACAATAAAATGTACAAAAGTTACACTAAAACGCACAAAAGTTATCGTGACATATATAAGAGTTATTTATGCTTTATTGATAAATTTGACAAAAGTGACACTAAATTTGACAAAAGTGACACTAAATTTGACAAAAGTGACACTAAATGTGACAAAAGTGTACCCGATGTACAGTAAATTACTGAAAACCGGGTGTATACAAAAGTTTTCCAATAATGAAAACTAAACTATTTTAGATCAAGGAAATAAATAACGGTACTTAAGTGATATTAATAAAAAGTCTACACCCGTTGACATTTACTCATGGTAAAATTTTAACCGATGGCTAAGCTTGTGTGGATGAACGAAAGAAAAACTAAATTATACGGAGTACATAAATTGATCTTTACTCAAAGGTTTTGTACTTGACATATCAAAACTTGGCTATATTAAAGGGTTAATTAGTGATTAAATGAAAATTTGTTAAAGGAGTCTAATTGGACTTCTAAAAATCAAATATTACAATAAAAAAATATAATAATGTAGACAAAATCCGATTTGATTGCGATGCACATGAGGCTGTATAGAAGTTACTCAGAGGTTAATTTCTCAAAATTCTCGCTACTTCAACATAAGTACATAACCATTACTCTATTTCTTTTCTATAAAAGCATTAATCATCACTCTTCTCTTCTACAGTTCTACACTTCTACTAGTCACTTGTTCACTTTACCCTTCTTGAGGCTTCTTCCATTAAAAAAAAAAACAAAAAAGCAACTTTCCCTTCTCTCTGTTCATCAATGGCGGACGACAACGATAAGAAGACGAAGACATACACAGGAACAATGAAGCGTATCGACAAACAAGGCAAAGGGTACATAGTTCCAGACATGGAGGTCATTGCTTCTCCATCTTCTCTCTCCTCGAACACCATCAAAGAAGGCGACCGAGTAAAATTCAGCATCAAATTTAGTGAATCAAACCCTCAATTTGAAGCAATTGACATTGTCCCAATAAAAACCCAGTGTTTCAAATGCAGAAAATTCGATCATACCACTAAAGAATGTCGTAAAGGGTTTCAAATTTCTAGGGTTAGATGTTATCGATGTGGGTTAATTGGGCATTTTGCTAGGAATTGTGATAAGAAGAGTTCTTCTCCTGGGTCCTCTAATGGCGGACTAGGGAGTAGAAGTTTGTCAGTGGAGTCCACTTCGAGTTCAGTGGTTTGTGTGAAGAAGAGAGAGGATGTGAAGAAGGTTGAAGAGGTTGAGGATTGCTTTATATTGGAGTTTGATCCTAATGAAGACAGCAATGGCCGAGGCGGGGCCGATACCGAAAGGAAGAAGAAGGAGAAGGAGAAGAAGAAGGAGAAGATGAAGGAGAAGAAGAAGGAGGATTGTGAGGTAATAAGGTCAATTGTATGTGTGAAGAATGCAGAAGATGTGAAGAAGGTTGAGGAAGTTGAGGATTGTTTTATATTGGAATTTGATCCTAATGAACCTCTTAACTTTTCTAACTTGTCTTTATCTGATAACAACTCTGAAGATGTGTCTATTTTGGCGGCAAAAGGGCAGGTATAATTGTGTTTTCTAATATGATCATTGTGATTATTGGTTATTATAATGTGTTTTTTGTAGCTAAATAGAAATGCTTTGTTTAATCTTTAGTAATATATGCATAATCTTGTAAAATGATCATGTTTGTTCTTTAAATATTCATATTATGATGTTGATTTGAGAATTAGCTTCCTCAATTTTAATTTATAACAGTAACATACTATCATAGGAATGATGAAATGATTGCTGTCTTTGTTTAGGATTATGGGTATGTTTAATTAAAGATTACCATTATAATTATGATGGTGAATGTAATTTGTTGGACAGGTGGCTTGTAAGGATTATCCACATCCAAGGCACCTGTGTGCCTCATACCCTATTAAGACAACTCTTCATGAGAATCATTGCAAAATGGTATCCTTCTGATTTTGGGCTTCATGTGCCTTATTTGTTAGTTATCGGTGGTTTAATTCAAATCCAGGTTTAGACGTTTAGTGTTAAAGGAATGCATAATCATTATGTGTTATCTTGTTAATTGCAGTGCTATTGCTATATATGTGAAGAACCTGCACCTTGCGATGTGTGGACTGGTACAAGCGTCAACCCTTTCTTCAGGCACTGTGCCGCTAAAACAACTGACTCTCCATTATGGGATAAATTAAAGGAGCAACGGAAGAAGCAGACTATGAAAGGTAAAACATCAAATAGAGACGAAACTGCTAGTGAATAACTTTTCTTATGTACCTTTTTTACAGTCAAACTCAGATGCTGAGTACCACATTGTTATAATGGTAATCTTTAATTTTGTTACATAAAAAATGATGTGCAATCACTATATTAATCAGCTTGCTTTTGCATAATTTGCTGATATGAGCTCTCCAATGCATATAGTTTGGTTAAAGGAGTTGTAATATACTTAGCCTGCTTTATATTGAGAAGCACATTTTAAATTAAGAGTACTCTGTCTCGTACATATGACTTAAAGTAATTGTCAAAGGTTTTCTTTCACATTCCAGTCCAGTGCACATGAATACCCGTTTTGTTTTTTTTAGCTAAAATGTTTACATAAAAGCAATAGTTTTTGTTGGTTAATTCAATTGCATTGCTACTGTTATATGTGTGATATAGCCTCGCCTCGTGGAAAAGACTGAAGGATTTAGAATCCTGGATCAAGCCATTGTTCTACTCATAAATTTCAAGTCTGGAGGACACATAGGGACCAAGAAGAGGCTGAAGTGCTGAACAAGGGGTGTATATATTACAGCAAGGGCTACATAGAAAGGTCATGAGTACAAGGGGTATGTATTATATCAAGGGCTTGTGAGAGGGGATTAAACCCTGACAAACTTCATAAGAATCGGTGGCTACAATATCATTGGGTATTTGACAGCAGTAAATGTGAAGAACAGGGCATTCTTTGGACATTGTTTCTACCAAAGGGGTAAGCCGGGTAACTGTGGTTTGGAAAACTGGTGGTTGATAATCTTGGTATAGTTAACACGCCAATTTTGAGTTATATACTGGAAATTTGTCTGTGCTAAGGGCAGGGCCGCAGGGGTGGGATATCTTTGGATGTGGTTTTGTACTTTATGGTGGCAATGTGACATTTAGAAGAGCCTGAAGGATGGGGCCCTTGTGAGTTGCTGTTGTGAGCCATTATGAGTAGATGCCTCAAAGGCCCTCAATAGATTTTGTGAAGGTAGATGTGAAAACGGCATAAATTGTTGATCTTTCATCCTGGTGTTGATCCCTACTATCCTTTCAAAATATTGGAGCTTTTCATTACTGAAAGTACCTTGTACGTATATCATCAAGATCTGCCAGGTAAATTTGTCATTGAACTCCTTTGAACCCAAAAAATCAACATAAAGCAATAACATGAAGTTTATTACTGGTGGATAGTTTTAGGCATCAGTTTCCGTAGGGCTTATCAACAGATCTATTGCTTCATCTTTGGAGTTAGAATTGAGTGGAGGCATAGCTTGACAAGCTGTGTTTCAATTGCAGTTCTGTTTGCTACGTCCATGACATACACACGGAAGCAGTTGTCGGGTGTAAAAATTGATGAATATGAACCTATTTATTGATAGAGAAACTAGGAGGAAACTCAAGCATAGAAGCAGAAAGGTAAAATAAGAATATATGATGCTGTTTAACAACCAACTATAATTCAGAAAGTTTCAAACTTTCTGTTGCAAATTGCTGCAATTTGGATGTTACTGATTTGAGTCTGCTCATTATTGCAGATAAGCCACTTTTTGCTGCTATGCCCAAATTTTTGTAAAGCTCTATTCTTGATCAATTTATCCCAGGGAAGAACCGAAGATCTGGGTTGATACAAATTTTTTTATATCAATATGTTCACTGTAATTAGTACTCTATAGATGCCAACTGAATGTTGCATTCTGTTTTAAGATTATTTGTCTTAGCAAGGTGTCTGTGCCTTTTGGATCGTGGCATTGACTTGTTTAGTTATGGGTTAATCAACATGATATCCAATTGTCAATTTATTATTAAGATCATATCTGTACTGTAAAGTTGGTCAATTATAATGGTAAATTTTGAATTTTTTTCATCATTGTTGTTGATTCCTATTTCAATGATTTGAGTAAATTAAGCAAATCCAAGTAATTTTTATCATATCCTCTTGTAAAATCTTCTAGTTAGGATCTTGAGGGTAGGTAATCTTATCATAGCTTGCTTAACTCTACGTCTCCTTGGTTGGTAATCTTATCATAGCATGGTCTAATGATAACTTACCAGGACCGAGGTTCGTACCTTTGAGGTTGGGGTTTAATCCGTAGTATGGACACTTTGAGAGGGTATGGATTTTCCTTGTTCTCCCCTCCCTTCTCTTTTCTCAATGTGTCTAGTCAATAAATTAATCTAGATTAAAGCTCCTTACATTATTGCCTTGACTCTACTATGTGCATTGTGTAATGCTTTATTCTACCTTCTTGCTTCTACTTATCCTAATTTTTGTAAAACAATATTACCTACTTCCTCTGTCCCTTCCCTCATAGTTTGCAGAGTACCCAAAAAAACTCTCATATACTTCCTTTTATTTTTTCAAATAGTTGCAACACTTTTTTTTTTTCACGCTGTCAATACATGTTTTGAATCGTTAATATTTTTGATTACCAATATATAAAAATCATAAATTTTAGATTTTAAAATTGTACAAATCGAGACGAATCTAACAAGATTACATATGACTATTTTTTATTTTTTATATATAAGTCATCAAAATCCGTAAAAGTGAAACACGTGAATAATTTAGATGGATTTTTACTTATTTTAAAAATAAAATTAAATATCCAAAACCCAAATTATTCTGTTAAATCGTCTTTTAGTGTCAAGTTTACTTCACTACTCTTAAAAATTCTCGTGTTAAAACCTTCAAACATCTTCAACAATGGCGGCCAATAACTATGGAACCAAAAACTCAGAAACTCGAAAGCTAACCGGGAAAATAAAGTGGATCGATTCACAGGGCATCGGCTGCATACTTCCTGACAACCCCTTCTTCCCAGAAGTATACATCAGCCCTCTTTCTCTCTCCTCAAACACCATCAAAGAAGGAGACCGCGTCAAACTCAACACTATTTTCAACGGCTCTAACCCCCCACATTCTCTGGAAGCCATTAATGTCGTCTCAATTCAGGGTAACTGCAGTTTCTGCAAAAAATTTGGTCATAATTCCAGTAATTGTCCAGAAACTAAGATTTCTGGGGTTATGTGTTTTCGTTGCGGAGTATTTGGTCATTATTCTAGGAATTGTGATCAGAAATATAATGGTTGGCTCCCTATTCGGATCCACAGAAAAAATAGTAGGCCCCACAATAGGGTTTTCAGTAATGGTGGTGGTGGGGTCAACAATGGTGGTAGTGGGGTCAACAATGGTGGAGTGTGGCCGAGTTTGAGTTCAGTGGTTAGTGTGAAGAAGGAAGATGTGAAGAAGGTTGAGGAGATAGAAGATTGCTTTATTCTGGAATTTGATCCTACTATTGGTAATGATGATGATGATGAGGTTAAAAGTATGGTATGTGTAAAGAAAGGAGATGATTTGAAGAAGTTGAGGATTGTTTTATATTGGAATATGATCCTTCTGAATTAGATAGATTTTCTAATTTGTCTATTTCTGAGAAATCTGATGTAGATGATGTTTTGATTTTGGCTGAAAAGGGGAAGGTATATACTATGTTTCAATGTCTTTTTTGGCTATTATTATATGGTTTCAATTTTAATAATGGGCATGTTTTGTTTGCTAATATGATCATATATATTAATGTGTTGTTATCTATGGCCTTGTTCGCTTCACTTGATATTTACTGAATTGGAATTATTTTTTCGGATTGAAAAAGATTTCCATTGATTTACTAATGATTAGGTTGAAATTGATTTTAGTGTCTTGATGATAGTGATGGTTGATTTATTATTAATGGGCAGGTGGCTTGTAGGGATTACCCACATCCAAGACATCTTTGTGCCACCCATCCTTTTAAGGAGGGTCCACATGATCTTCATTGCAAAATGGTAATTGTTTTATTGCCATGCTAAAGAATGTTAGATGTTTGTTCAGTTTTGAGATTATGTTGAAGTGTTAATGGAATGATGGGTAGTTATTGATGAATTTTTGGTTCAATTTGCAGTGCTATTGCTACATTTGTGATATACCTGCTCCTTGCAAGAGATGGGGTGAAAGTAGTAAATGTCCTGGTGTGAGACATTGTGATGCTACTGATGAATCTGCTCTTTGGAGGTTACATAAAACTCTGGAGAATAAAGCTTCAAGGGGTGGGTAGGTAAAATGGCGACGACTAACCATGCAGGAAGGTAGTGATTAAATGATCAATTTTGTATCATAATATGGGCTTGTTTTATGATCAGATTAAATCTGTCAAGTTTCAGGAAGTAATAAGTCAATAAATAGATTTGTACTTTTTAGGGGGGTTTATGAGTTAAAGTTAATTTTTGTATATTGGATTTATATGAGGTTTGTGGACTCAGTTCAGTTGGAAATCTAAAATCTGTTGCTCAACTTTTGCCTCAACTCTGATCTCTATAAAGTCTACTAATCGTCCCATTTAATATGAAGAAATTCCTGTCCGTCTGTAAATGTAAAGAACCTCAGGTTACTTGATTGCAGTAATTTAAAGAACAATGCAGTGGAATGCAATCTATGCTCGAAAAAAAAACAGGTCTTTGATCTTTTGAATCTAGCAACAGTTTTTGACCGAATTTGCATGGTTTGATGCCTTCGACCTCTATGATGATTATGAGGCATGATGAGTTATTTCAGTCTTTGTGCAGGTTGCTAATACGGATGGTTCACCTAAGTTCACAGAACTTGTGAGACTTGTTTGACTACAGTCTACAGGTGCAGAAGTACTGATACATTTAACAAGGAGTGGCTGGACTGCAGGACACGCGAATTCTTACAATGCTACTCTGGAGCTAAGTGATCTGGAGGAAGCTTGAGAATTAGAAGTAGAGAGGTAAAATATTTTTACTTTAGGAACAATGAATGTGTCATGTGTGTAAGATGTTCTTTTGATGACACCCGTATGATTAATTGAGTTTGTTTAGAAAATCATAGCTTTACAAGAGGGTGAATTTGCCTTGCATCTGAACAAATTGTTTCCCTTCTGCTTGGTTAGTTTGGTGTGTGACAATCAACTGAGAAAGTATGAAATTCTGAAGATTTTGTAAGTGATGGAATTGTGGATACTGCCAAGTTGAAGTTGCAGAAATCTGTGTAGATTTTCACCATTCCTTTATCTGTACAATATTGGCCATTACCCCCCTTGTTGAAAATGCATCATATTCAAACAAGCTGCATATAACCAGGATGGGAACGATTTTATAGGCTATCACCTTTATCGTCGGTACTCAATCCTTTAATAATTTAATTTATGCCATGAAGGAACTCTGTTTTCTTTAGTTTCCATTATCATTGATAAGATTGAGAAAAAGCTTTGTTTCACATGTGAACTTGAATCATTGTGAGTTCAGTAGAAGGACCATTATAGGAGCCATTATTTGAAGCCTGGAAATTACAGGGCTTAATGGTGGAAGTTTTTACAAAAAGGTTTCTTTCCTGTTTCCAGTTATTTAGGGGGTCTAAGTCTGTTGTCTGTGCTTGAACACGTTCATTGAGGGCATACGAGTTTGCTTCAAAGTTTTGGCTATAACAAATGTGTGTACATGGAGGTGAATGTGTGTGGTGTGTCACTTGCAGATTTAGACGGGACAAACAAGTTGTTTAGGTTGTATTTGGTTTGGGTGTATTGTACCGAGAATGTTTACCGAGACGGGACAAACAAGTTCTCTTTACACGGACTATACCATCCTCTCTCAAATACCTTATATGAAGATACTCCATACCTAGTTGTTAGGGGATAAATCAATTAGTCATACATAATACCAAACTAAGTGAGTATCAAGTATCAAATTATAGGTCTTTTATTCTCTAAATCCTATCATACTTATCATTGTAGGTTAAAAAGAAAATAGGTTTATAACTTTATATCCAATAATTTTTTTTTCTTTAAATATATAAAAAATATAAAGGTACACTAAAATACATAATCAACTTTTTATTAAATTTACTACCTTATAAAATTAACAAAAACATAATTAAAGATTTTATTCTCAAAGTTTCATAGTGATAAGCATTAAAAAAAAAAAAAAAAAAAAACCGAGATGATAACGCACAAGAAAAAAAAATAGTGTATCATAGGATTTATATGTTAAGAAATGAAATGGAAGCAAAAATAGAGCAAATTACTAGAAGGGCATAAAAGACAGAAAAATAAAACAATTTCTTAATTGTAAAATAGTTTGGCGCTTAAATTTTTTTAGCAAACAACATTTCTCCCGCCTTGTATTAATTAAAACGGAGTATATTCTTCCCTAGTACGGTTTTGTTCATCAGTTGGTTATTATTATTTTTTTTTTGAAGGAAAATCAGTTGGTTATTTCTCTCTTCAACAAAATGGCTCAAATATCATCTCAACCGTATGTCACTCCAACACAACTTCAACCATCCTCCATCCGCTGCTACGGCTGCCATCGGATCTTGGCCGTAATACCCCATTTGATGATTTTCCGTTGCCCGGCGTGTCGGTTGCAGCACCGGTTACTTCCACCTCAGGGCCCGTTACCGAGTAGCACGTCCCTTGAGGAAAGGCCAAGTGAATTGCAGGTGAGCTGTGCTAATTGCATGGCAATACTTGTTCCTCATTCTATTGACTTCATATTTTACAAGGTTTTCTCCTTTTCCTTTTTTTTGAAGCAAAAAAAAAAAAAAAAAAAAAAAAGTGCTTGAAAAAAAATGGCAAGTTACCCCTAAATTTTATAAGGTTTATATTCACCCGAGTGTAAGGTGTGTCCAAGTTTTTTTTTTTTTAAATAAATAAATGAGTAAAAATGGAAAAAGTATACTTTAGATACACCTGGGTGTATAGTGTACGACTGTACGGTCGTACGGAGTATATAAGAATGTCTCCCGAACTTTCCCTTTATAAGGTTAGAGTTAGAGAATAACTTACCCCTAGACAATTTTTGTTGGTAGTGATATTACTTCTCAATAATTATTTACCTTAATTATAAATACAATTTTGGAAAATTTTCAGGTAATATTTATTATATCAGAATGTCTTAATATTTTCATTTAAGTACTCCGTAATATTTTTTATTTGTGGTTGTCTAGAGGTTTGCTCATAAAATGTGCTATAGTGGGATGGAGACTGAAGCTGATGATGTAAAGCCTCCAAAACTAGAGCTCACTCCTAAAACATCAATAGTTTCATTGAAGGACAATAAACGCTTAAAAGAGATTGAGGAGGTTGAAGATTGCTTTATCCTTGATTTTAATCCTTATGAATCAGAGTTTTCGTCGCTTTCAACGCTGCTTGTTGATGATGAGGATGATCTCACCTTTGCAGGCGAACAAGGCGAGGTACTTCTTCCATTCTTATATGTGTAGATTGCTCTAACACACACCCCTTCATTCCTTCCATAGTTATTATAAACTTTAGATACTAACATGTTATATATTACTCCGTACTTGTCAATTTTAGATACCAATACATTATTTAACGTTTAGTGTCTTTAAAACTCGATATTGTTAAATATTAGTGCATTTGCTAGTAGATTGTTGATTTGAAGGTGATTTATGAATAATTGGTTGTGATTATGTATGTGTAGGTTGCGTGTAGGGACTATCCACATCCAAGGCATCTTTGTGTTACACATTCATTTAACGACACTCCTCACTACATTCATTGCAAAATGGTAATAATCTTTTGTTTCCTTCGTATAGTTTGAATCTATGTTGCTTGGACACGTGTATCTGTATCCATGCCTAACACAGCTATGTGCCAAGTGTCACACTTAGTTGTTATACGATTATACGAATCTCTCTCCTGATTCTTGTAAATATTAAAGAGGCAAATGTCTTATTATTCATATTATAATGCCAAGGATCCAATACGAGTAGTTGAGGTAAAATGAATATATATTGGACTATGATTGAACACTTGAATTTGCCGCAACTAGTTATCTAGTTATGTATTAACCTCTGTGTTATGGTCATAGCATTTTGTTGTGAATTTATGCTTGTGGTTTGATTATTGCAGTGCTATTGCTATGTTTGTGATGTACCAGCACCGTGCGAGCAATGGACTAAACAATCAACCTATTTCAGGCATTGTGAGGCCATTCCTGATAATAAGATTTGGACCGATCTTAGGATTTCGAAAAGGAGAAAAATCTATGCAAGTTTTGATGAATGTTTCTTGCAAGATACAAGTATATGTCATGAGGCCAATGAGTAGTTACTAATAACTCGCTACAATCAAACCAATTGAACTTGTAAATCCTACAATGTTAGTGCCCTAATGCTTTATTCCCCTGCATAGGATTAGAGGTGAAAAGTCAAAGCTTTTGTAACTATTATAGTTTATAAATTTCTTTTTTTGCTTATGATTTTATGAGAATGGTATTGGGTAAGTAAGTTGTGGTACTTTCACTTGATTTACTCCCTCAGTCTCCTTTATTTGTTTCATTTGATCAGATTAATTTTAATTTTGTGCTCCCTCCGTTTTTTTTTACATTCTTAATTGTAAAATTACACGAGAATTAAGGAGCTTGGAATAAAACAAAGTACAATGGGAATTACAAGACATTAATCGATGTATTTGAGTAAAACAAAAATAAGAATAATATATAATGCTGCACATGTCATCAATTCTTTGAAAAAAAAAAACCAATTATACTTTTTGGTGGAAAAAAAAGGATCAATCATATTCATCTAAATTGATGCACATGAAAGTAGGAATGTAAAAAAGGGGACGGAGGAGTATTATTTTTGTAAGCCAAAGTGAAGAAAGTAAAATAAGGTCAGGAGTATTTAAAATGACCCTTATCAAATGTATCATGCAATTAGAGAGAGAGTTAGAGGTATTATTAGTTTTTTATTCTCCCAAAAATGTTATGCATGCATTTAGATGTATTATTATTAATTAGAGTACTTAGTATTTACTGCTCTTTATGATCTTCTTGTACCTCCTCATTTTCTTTTAAAAAAATGGAAAATGGAAGGGTGAAGAATGCAACAGCTCCAACATCTCCGGATAAAGAACAACCACCTATCATACGATCAGTAATTTCTCTGAAGAATAAAAAGCGCATAAGAGAAATCGAAATGGTTGAAGACTGCTTCATCTTAGATTTTGATCCTTATGAATCATCATCGAAGCCTACTTCCCCTTCTCAGTTTGTCGATCAAGATGATGATGCTCCTGATTTTAAAGTAATTGCTCAACGTGGCAAGGTACTTCAACTTACCATTGTTATTATGCATCGTCGTTCATTTGAAAACTATTATCAGACTTATAAGGTTGCGTATATCTAGCCCTCTTAGACACCTAATTGAGTTCCTGGCCTCATTGACATTAAAATGATGTAAAAGTTGCAATATTGCTCTAACATGATCGTACATGAATAACATGATCATTTGGTACCAGTGCGCACAAAATCCATTCTCAAAGACACCCCATAAGACCCATTGCAAGCTGGTACATTTTCGCTTTTTAGATTATATACTCCTGTTAATCAAATAATTTATAATTTCCTCTTGACATGGGCAAGTTTGTATAATTAGATTTTACTAATCTGTGGTTTATACACACGGGTGTACAATGCTCATCATACACCCGGATAAATAAAAAAAAGGCGGAAAAAATATCCTGTGTTTCATAAAGAACATACATGTATTTGACAAAGAACATGGTTGTATTTGACAAAAACATGCATTACCAAAGAACATAAATATATAATAAAAAGAACGAGATAAAAGCTTGATAAAATTTTCTGAAAAATTACACATTATTAACGGGAAAAATTTAGAAGTGATAAATAATCGAGTAGGGCCGGGCCATATCATAATTTCTCGTGCTCAAACCCGTAGAAAAGTAGCGGGTTTTCGGGCTTTTTTCGAACCCGGATCGAGTTTTAACTAAAAATGCATTTTTAGGTTTGTCCAAACCCACCCTATTTCGGGCCGGATCGGGTCGGGATGTGAGTCATGCCAATGTTGATCACCTCTTAAAAAATCCTTACCAAAGATATCATTTCCCCAAAAAATAGTTTTCTATCTCTCCAAAAAAAAATTCAACTTCCCATAATAATTTAGTTTTTTTTACTCTAACATTATTTTCAATTAAAAATAATTTAAGATTTCAATATCAAATTTCAAAATACCAAATGTTAAAAAGAACATAATTTATATTGTAAAGTACATATAGTTAATACCTAAATAACACACTAATCAAACTCAAAGAATGTGCGATAATAAAAGTAATTTAAATATGACATGATAATAAAAAATAGAATTTGGGCGTCACTACGACCTTAAAGAACATACACGTCAAATTCAAAGAACATACTTTGTATTATTAAACCCAAAAAAAAATATGTTTATCAACATATGTTAAATAACATAAGTTATAATGTAAAGAACATATAATTTTACTCAAAGAACACACTGATCACACTCAAATAACATATTAAAGGTATGTTCTTTATCAAACACTATATGTTCTTTCCGCTTTTTTTGTTTACCCGGGTGCACCATGAGCATGGTGCACCCGGGTGTATTATCTAATTTTCAGATTTTACTTCATGAGACCATGACAAATGCCCATTGTTCGAATTGTAAGTGACTAATGGTCGATTATACATTGTTGCAGTGTCACTGTTATGTTTGTGATGTAGCTGCTCCTTGTGCTGAATGGTCCGACCACTGCGATGCAGATCATGTGCCTTATAGCGATTGGTGGTATCTTCGGAGAAAAAAGAGGGGGCAAGACTATGAGTCCGACTCAGACTCGGACTATTTCGAATGAACAAAAGCTAACTCATTGTAACTAATTTCATGATTTGATCTTTGAACAAGCTGTAGGAGAATGTGTAAAAAAAAAAAAACCTGTTGGCTAAACCTTTGCTCATTTGAATTGATGTTTTTATTTAAACTTTAGCTAATTTTGTTTTAATAACATGTTATTCAATTTGAATATGTCAATTATTTATTCAAAACAGAGATTAGAGTCAATTGAAAATTCAAGTCGTCTTTTATATTGGATCGTTATGTTTGTGTCAATGATGTCCTAGTCTAATACAAAGTAATACACAAGCTAATGTCAACAAAAACGCCAATATATCATTTTGGCCAAGTATCCACAACAAAGAAGAGTGTAATCACATAAAAATTCAATCAATATTACGATGTACATATCAAACTTGTATGTGGTCAGATTCTCTTTCAACCTGAGTATAATTTGGCCTATTACAATCACAATTAGCACTCCATACTTTGTGTATATACTACGTAGTTTAATGTGGTCTAAAGTTATGACTTATGACTATTATGAATGTTTTGGAAAAGCATTACTCTTAACCTAGGAAAACGATGTTAACTTAAAACTTTAAAAGGCCTCTAGGCTCTAGTTTGTTTCTGAATTTGCTTTACATTTTCATATCCTTGTACTATGGCAACCTTTATTTTGCAGCTACTGGCATTTGTTCCCTTCGGTATAAGCAAGGTTTATCTTGATACTGTAATACAAGGAGAATGTTGAATTGTGATAATACCATATTTAATTTGATGAGAAAATTGCAAGGAAAGGATGGGGTTAATTATGTTAAGATACTCGAGATTAGTTCTAACAGATTGATCAGGTAATATAAAGGATCCTAATCAACTGATACAGTGATACACAGATCAAAAACACTACTAGATCATAAGCAACAGACCAAAAAGAGAGTTTCATCTGATCGAAATCACAAAGCTAGTCCAGCATAGATCTTCAAATCATCTTCGCAGTCAGGGTTTCCTTCATAATACTCAGGATGGCTCTCAACCATTTTAGCCACATCCTTAAACATTGCAGTAAGAGGGTGAGAAGGGAAGTCATAAACTTGCTTATGAGGTTTGATTTGAGACAGTGTTGCCATTGCTGTTGCACCTGATTCCTCTAGATGAGATGTAGTGTTTTTGACATTGATGAACCAATCTTGGTTAAAACACTTCTCAACCTCCTTAAGGATTTTCCAAACCCGATGCTCATTATCAGGAGAAGTTGCATCAGGAAGAAGATGATACTTCCCAGTTGCTGTAACCTTGTCAAAATCTTGCCAGAACCCATCATGGTATTGGAATTCCAATCGAACTTGAAGAAATCGCAACCCTTTTGCCCATGAAAGTTTCAGGCCTTCAATGAGAGTAAGCATTGGCAAAACCGAGGGATCAAGGGTGCCAATAACACTGTGAATGTGCCTTGAGAATCCAGCAACCCATTCTCCATTACTATCACAAATCAATCCACCAGCAAAACCATTAATTAGTTCAGGCTGATCAGGAGGATATTGCATAAAGCTAACAGTCAATATGTGACGAGCCTGCACTCGAAAAGCACCAAACATATGTTTAAGCAATTAAATCCACTGGAACATCTCTTAATCAAAAGTATGACATAAAATGAAATTACAAACCATAGTCATATTAGTAGCAGAATCTCTCTTCCTGCATTCTCTTTCTGATCTCCAGAGTTCAACTTCTTGGGTAGCATGACAATGCCCATTGCGAGTCTTAGTCCAGTGTTTGCAAGGGGCAACTTCTTCACAAACATAACAATAGCACTGCATAGCAGTCAAATCGAAGAGAGGTTTGAGTACTAAGCTAGCAAATGTTTGTAATTTACTAATTCATACTTCCTCTCCAAAGTTAACCAAAAGAACAATAGAAAAACAAAGAACAGAATTGAACAATATACAAAGTAACAATTTACAAGAGGCCAAGGATAAATGAAAAAAACAAGAACCTACACTAAGAAACAGCTAGCATAATACAGAATCCGGTTTATTCACCATTTCATTTCAAAGTTCAATGATCAAAACTCGAGTAGTCTGATGCACTTGTAAAACCCAAATCCTACAAAGCTTATAGCAAAAAAATATTCCTCAATGATGCAAATGTTTTAATAAGCAAAGCAATCCCTCATAAACCATAATAAGGCCCAATTTTGAGGGATTGTTTATCAACTGTGCATTTTTTATACAGCAGCAAACTAAGGGTTTCCCAGTTTATTTCCTTGGTACATGACTAACAATCAAAAGATGATAAGATTTGTGATGATTATTTGTCAATGGTGATTAAAATTTTAACAATTGTGGGTGCATATTATTTCAAATTAAATTTTATCAAGATTACAGACTTACAGTAGAAATATGTACATTTAAATCACACTTTTGTAGACTACATATCTTTCAAATATGAATTGTTACTACTCATTTTAAAGTTCAAACCCAAAAATGTTGTGAAAACTAATTTTCATAAAATTAAACCCACAATACAATCTTGGTGGAAATAACAAAGATCAAAACCCTAGTCACTACAAATGTAAGACAAAAAAATCAACCCCAAATACAAAGAGCTAATTAAAGCATTAAGTATGTAAATTAGTATAGTTTAGCATAAGAAACAAGTATTAATGAAGAATTTAATAAGGAATAAAAGAGGTAAAATTTAAAACCTTAATGCAGTGAAGATGATGAGAAGTAAGGGTAAAGGGACCAATTGGATGTGATTATAGTCATTATACCCAATGTTTTTATGCAAAAGAAGGAACACATTGAAAGATAATAAGTAAATAACCTTCCATAATAGATTATTTTTGTCTAGTCTCACTTGAATACATTATTTTTGTCTACTCTCATCTTGCCTTATGTCTTGACATGGCCTAATCCTGGCCTCGGGGTTTTGATGTCGTTGTTGTACAATTTCCTAGTTTTATTAGCTTTTCCATTGCTTATGTTATTCTTGCTGAAGTTGTTTACATGATCAAGTTCTCTTCTTTATGTAAGGCAAATTTGATTGACTTCATTGTATTGTGGTATATGTGATGGTTGAATTGCAGTGCTACTGCTATGTTTGTGATATACCTGCCCCATGCAAGCACTGGTCGGTTCACTGCAGTGCTACACCCCAAAATCCGCATTGGAAATCATTACGCAGGCTCAATCACTCCTCAAAGCGAAGAGTGCTGCGCGCCTAAGCTAGAAATCCCTTAGCTTGTACTACATTTCCCAGTGTAGGAGGAATGAATGTTGTTTTTTGAAACCTTGTGGAGCAGTCTGGGACTCTGAGTTGAAAAAATGGTGTATGAAGTAAAATTAACTTGGCCTTAAAGACACATCTAGCTGCCTGTTTTGATGACTTGTGAATAGTTTATGTATGTAAGCGATGTGTTGATATCTCTGATGCTACTACTTATAAGTAATCCAGCCCCCTCAGGTGACCTTGTGAATTGTCGTCGTAATTATTTGCATTTGGTACTAACCATCTCAGCAGGAGACTTTGTCATCAACCCACTTGATAGGAAACTCTGCTCTGAAATGCACCATCTGAGAGTAGAATGGTTCTAAACTCTGTTCTGAATCCACTTGGGGTTCAATGCAGATTCTGGAATTTGAATATTGAAGGCATTTGTCAATTAATAGCCAAGATTATGCTATCTTTCTTTTATTAGGAATATACTGGTATAATATCACTTTAATCTACCAAATCATAATAGACCTAAATGGTTCACACTGGACCTTTTATAACTTGCTTAATGCTGTATTTGTTAAAAACATACGAAGTACAAGTTACGAAAGTAGTCACTTGGAAAATACAAGTACAAACAATAAAACTGAAAAAATTCAGACCAAACCAAGGTAGACATGAATATCCGGAGTAGATTAAAACACGTTTCAGGTGGAGAGAGCATAGGATAAGAGCATGTGTAGATGGTGTAGCCGTGTAGTGGTTGTTATTTATGTTGCGGAGTGGAGATTTTGTGATTCATTGCACAAAGTTAATCGATTCATGTACCTTTAAGTCTATAAGCAGTTTATTGTAATAAACCATTCATGCTGTGTTTAGGTTAATTATTCTAGAGAAACTTGATAAATTATGAGATCTATTTTGAACGTTTTCTAACTGTTTGACCACTTGTTTTCCACCCAAAACTCCCACAAACACAAAGAAGAAAGAATGTGAAAAGGATAACATTACTCTACTTTACTACTCCTTGCAATATAGGAATTTGTAACGATTTTTGAGCCTTTTCATATCATTGATTAGTCAAAGTCATTTAACAAACTTCAGTTACAGTTTTTCATGCTAATCCTTTTTTGATAATATAACAATGTATCGAGTCATTTGATGAGTCTCCTTATAATTTCAGTCTTGCAGGAAAATATTTTATCAGGAAAACACAGAGGATGCAGCGACAAATGTCAGGAAAACAGGTCCCTTCTATTCTAGCTATTGCCCCGGCTGAGCTTGAGTTCCCTAGTTGTAACACTTGTAAGTGCTGGGTTATCATGTTTTTGTGTTAACTTTGATTATTTCTCTGTACTCCTGTAGTCGTGCACTCGTGCATCTTTAAGGTATTCAAACTCGGCTTTTCCTGTTAACCTCTTTGTTGTTTTCCTATGAACTTACATATGCAGCTGAATTGGGGAAGATCTCTCGTTCTATGCATCTGACCAACAAAACAGACAACCTGATTGTATTCAAGGTAGTTTTATAAGTTGATGTTATAGGAATTACAGATTTACAGTATTATTTATGTTTAGAAATAAGTCCTGGTCAATTGATTAAGAGATATTTTCTGTATTTGTGGAGCAAGATCAAAGCAACGCCAACAAATTCTGTCAAGTATTCTGCACTCCCCCTAGTCGGGTATGTGCTTCCTAAAGCAACACGTGACGTCGCAGGTTTGTTTATTCCTCTATTGTGAAGCGAATTGTACTGTATCATCAGAACTTTTTGCATCAGAATTGTATAATATATAGGGAGTTATGTATATGTATTTCTGGTGTACGTTGTAGATCTTGTATATGAATATATACTTGTACTTCATATTACAGTAATTTAAAGAAATTAATTATTTGTGATTTCCTATTACATGTAGTTTGGATGCGAACCCCAATAGAAGCACCACTCAGTTTGCAGCACAGGGACGAAATCATAGTTCAGAGTGCTCGTGTGCCTAAGAGCATCACTGCAAGTGACTTAACTACTGAGTTGGTATGACTTAACTACACGAGCACTCTGAACTACTGACTTTACATATATAGTTGTGAACATTTCCTACAAAGTTTGTATGTTTGGTTAATTGGTTTTCTGTACTAATTTCCTTTTTAAACAATTGGCAGGTGGCTTGTAGGGATTATCCACATCCAAGGCACCTCTGTGTCGTCCACCCTTTTAACAAAACTCGCCACGAAACTCACTGCAATATGGTACTCTTTGCTAATGTTATCTGTCTCTTATTGCTAAAATCATTACCTCTTTGTCAGATGGTAGACAATTGTATCTTTGATTAAGCATTGGATATGTCTGATTGGCTTCTTGGTATAATTGCAGTGCTATTGCTGTGTTTGTGATAGCCCAGCACCTTGCAAGAAATGGGCCAAAAAGTCTTCAAATATTGCTGCGAAGCATTGTGATGCTACTGGTAACAAGGTTTACGAAGGACGTGTAAACCGTATATGGCATTATGGCGTCCAGTGAGTGATTGGATGCTTAGGATCTGAAGATTGAAGATTGGTTTTTGTATGCTCGAAGACACTAACAAGATTAAGCAAGGAAGATGTATGGAATGTTGTTCTAACAAAGGAGCTAGGAAGACTATTAAGTAATTTTAGGGTCCAACTCTGTTTCACAAAAGCTTTGAGGATTTTGGTGGTAGGAAAAAAAAAAAAAAAAAATCAATTTTATATTTCTACTTGGATACAATATGTTAGCATGGTTTAAATTCAAAATAAACTTGACCCAATTTCATGGAACCCGATCCAAACATCCGAATTGACACCACTATTCATTTCCTTATCTTACTTTTTTATTCAAGAAAAATGGACTTGTTTCAACTATATGCAAATTTTGTGATGATTCAACACTAGCTTTTATATCAAAAAAAAAAAAAAAAAAGGTGATGACTTAGGCTTTGTTCTATTCACCTTAAAGAAATAATATTAGGTAAAAATAATTTTAGTTCAGTAAAAATAAGTTCAGTTCAGTGAAATTCAGTTTTCATAAAGAAGAATTTTAATTGAAAATTAGTAAAAATAATTTCAGTTCAGCAAAAATAATTTCAGTTTAGTAAAATTAATTTAATTTCTATAAAAATAATTTAAGTTTAGCAAAAATAATTTCAGTTCAGTAAAAATAATTTCAGTTCAGCAAAATTAAGGTGAACAGAACAAGGCCTTACCCGTAACATTGGTTTCAATTATAAAGCTTTAAATGCATGTGATGCATGCTTTACCTTTCGAAAAACATATAGTATTTTGTATAACAATTCATATTAATATATTATAATAATATAAAGTATTCCATTCGTCCCTTATTACTTTCCACATTTTTTTATAGAGTTCGAAAAATATTTCCCATTTCCATTTATAGCTATAATTATACTCTCAAATAAAAATATATAAACCATTTTAGTTGTAATTTGAATTTGAACAACCCTTATCTTAAGTTATTTTTTCCGAACTAAACTTATCTAAACTTATTAAACTTAAAATAAGTGAAAATAAGGCGAATAAAACAATCTTGTAAAGTCATGACTAAAACTCAGATCAGAAAAAATAAGTTCAAATAATTAAGAAAATCACATATTATTATCAATCTAAGAAGATCCTACTTCAAATATTTTTCCATATACATTATCATATATTTAAGGTCAATGTATTGTCAAATATGATATTCAAATCAAATCAAATCAAATAAGCTCTTGTAAGCAAAAATAAAATGAACTAAACTAAACAAACCCTAACAATTGACTACTTTATAAGGCTAAAAGCCCAACAATTGAAATAGACATAAAATACCCAATTACCCAGACGTCTTTTTCTGTCACAAACCAAGTTTATCTTCATTCTTCAAAACCCCATTATTAAAACTAAAAAACCAAAAAAGCTCACTCCTTCCCTCTGCCACTCATCATCTTCTACCAGAGGAGAGAGAAAATCACACATACCCCACCACCATGACTGTTCCAGTTGTTGAAGAAGAACAAATCCCTATTCCCGTTAAAGAAGAAGAGGTATATTTCATTCTCAATTACCAATTTTCTGGGGTTTTTGGGTTTAATCTTATTGGGTATTGATTCTATTTGCATTTATTTATCTGAATTTTGCAGAAAGATGAAGTAATTGTTGAAGATGTTAAGGAGGATGAACATGAGGATGACGATGAAGATGATGACGACGATGATGAGGAGGATGATGAAACTACCTTAAGTAATTTTCTTTTTTGTTCTTTATCTTTTATAAATTTTATGTCTTTCGATTTTAAATTTTGTTTTTGTTTGTTCAATATTCTTTTTTAGGGTTTATGGCTCTTATTTTTTCGTAAAGTTTCTTATTTGGTTCATATTTGATGTTATATGTGACGCTGAACTTTTTGTGTGTTATTTCAAACATTTGTGTTTAATTGGGTTGTGTTTTTTGTTGGAAGGGGTTATTTATAATAGGATAAGGGTTATTGAATTGAAATTCTGATGAAATTTGAACGTGAAAATTGCAAAATTGTGTTATCTTGAGTGATAAGCTAGGAATTTTAATTTGTTAGAATGTTTGATTTTTTTGGGTATGGGATTGAGTGAAATTGAAGATATGTGTTGGACTGGAACTTGGGATTTTGTTCGATTTTTGCGGTTTTGGTGACCTTTATGTTTATTTGTTTTTTGCTGTGTGGTGTATGAAGAATTGGGAAGCTTGGTGGTTTAGGATTTCTGAATTTTGGATAGAAATTGGACCTGATATCTTGAAATTCTTGTAGCTTGATTGGTTAGCTGTTAGGATTATTGTTGTGCATTTTGCTTGATTGTTGTTCACTTGTTCGTGTACGTTTTGTTGTATAAGCTTGAGCAACATTTGTTGTATCAGTTAGGCTGGGAATCTGGGTTTTATTTGTTTGATTATATTGAATAGCTCTTACTTTATGTTATATACTGATGTGAATGATTTGTTTCTATTTCTATGGTTGAGGGTTGATGGGTTTTACGTGCTCTTAATGCTTGAGTGCTAATTATTTTATCCTGTGCTTTGTTGTATCCATTTAGCCTCAGCTGAGGGTATCAAGCAGAGCAGGAGTGAGAAGAAGAGTCGTAAAGCAATGTTGAAACTAGGATTGAAACCTATCCCAGGTGTAACCCGGGTCACCATAAAGAAAGCCAAAAATGTAAGAATTTTTCCTTATGAAACGTTATTGATAACAGGTGTTTTTGAACATATAAGGGTCTGACATTAGTGTGTTGGGATTGCAGATATTGTTTTTCATTTCAAAGCCTGACGTGTTCAAGAGCCCTTACTCTGAAACCTATGTCATATTTGGTGAGGCCAAGATCGAAGACTTTAGCTCTCAGCTGCAAACTCAAGCTGCCCAACAGTTCAGACTCCCTGATATGTCATCAATGATGGCCAACTCAGAAGCTTCTGCTGCCACTGCTGCTGCCCAAGAAGAGGAAGAAGAGATCGATGAAACAGGGGTAGAGCCTCGAGACATTGAGTTGGTTATGACTCAAGCTGGGGTTTCGAAGGGCAAGGCTGTCAATGCACTCAAGGCTCATGATGGTGACATCGTTGGTGCTATCATGGAGCTTACTGCTTAGGTCGGGCAATCTTACCTGCTCATTGATTCCACTCCTCGGGAGTTTAATTGCCCATTCTAGCTTTATTATTCTTCTTTGGGCCCTAAACATTCTAGTGATGAGGTTATGCATTTTTGAACTGCTGCCAATTCTATTTATTTTGGATTTGCCTTTTGATAATATAATGGTTTTGTTGCCTCAAATTTGCAGTGGCTTTCTATTTATTTGATTGTGGTTTATACAATCTTTAGATGTTTTACTTGTTGATTGACCAGTTTTTCAAGGTGTAACCTTATATTTGGAACAAGAAATATGAACAAGTGAATAACACTTTAAATTGACGGATTTGGATTAATGTGTCCACATTTTATTGAGTAATTGCTAAACCGTATAATTTACTGATACTATCAAACCAGTAAGTTTCCTGATTACAAAGAATAAAAATATAAAATAATCTTTTCTAATTAATTACCCTACAGTTTGTCCGGATTTAACCAGACATGCCAATAAGAACATCTATCTGACCCATCTTAACCATTACTGCTGCAAACTTTCTCATCCACAATGACTGATTCATTGCATTCTGACTCAACTCACTAGCTGTGTTGGAGTTTGTCAAGAGGGTCTGATCAGATGTAAACAAGCTGCGGTTGGATAAGATGTCCTGGTAGTAGCCTACATCTGTGACTAATTGGCTACCAGGGTTCATTGGAACGACTAGGCTAGAATCCTTGCTTCCTTGCGGGCACTGTTGCTGCAATTGTCCTGCATATTTAGAATCCAGAGTAGGATCTGCCCCATTTGTGCCATTGAATTTGTATAGCCTATTGATGATGGATGTGCAATGAGACTGGCCAATTGTATGAGCGCCTGTGTTCAAGAGTGGGTTTATGAAATTTGATGTCAGATTAAGGTCCTCAATAGATTAGGGACTTAGATTCAAGTGTCCAAGCTCAACTGTTCAAGATTTACTCAGGCAAATGAACTTTGGTATAAATTGGATGATTTTTAAACCTAGAACCCAGTTCGACCTTTGTTATTGTTGATAGCTATTCAAAACCTGTCATGACTAGCTAAAATGAATTTGGATTTTATTAGCTAGTTTATTACTGGATAGCTAACATTGAAGAGTTAAAAAGATTACTATCTAATTGTTGCTTCTGCTTGAAAGCTAAAACCTGTTTATTAGGACCTTTAGATGGAAAACATCATTTGACTACTTTGTGTCGGGACTCCTGACTCGTAACTGAATAGTACATTATTCTGTGACTGAGTTTCGGAAAATTCTGCAAGTGGAAGGCCAAGCATATTTCTGTGTGAAAGTCTAACCTTAGTTAAAGAAAAATTCATCCTCTCTATGATATTGATACCTGATAGGGTGACCATTTCTTCCTGTGTCAGATTTCTGTTCGCGAAGCTCTGTGTAAGTTGGTCGACATTTAGTGAAGGTCCAGGGATGTCTCGTAGCACCTCTGAAGCTAAAGAGACTCTTCCATCCCTTCTCCCAGCCGGAACATCATAAACTGGCCCTTTTGTCTGTGAAACCGATCAAAGTTATGCAGCAGACTACAAAATTAACTGTTCTCTGGTAAATAAATAAATCATCTTACTATTACTACGCTGTCTCTGGCTGCAAAAGCTAAAATGTCTGCACATGATACGACCCCTTTGCATTCGGTTTCAAGTCTAGTCTTTGCATTGTCAATGATTTCAAATCCTCGAAGGCTAGGATTGTTTACAAATGAATCCTTCTCGGCTGTGTTTGAGGAATTGGAGTCAATGAGAATGGATCCATCACAACCCTGGTATCAGAAGAGAAGGAACTTAGGGAAACTGCAATTAATCAAATTGATAATACAGTAAAAGTTAAACCAACTTACTCTAACAAAGCAGTCATGAAAGTGCATTCTGACTAGACCGGGAGCAATTCCTTTGTCTTTCATAAACCCTTTCGTAACTTCTTCATTCACAATGCGCTCTGCTGATTCACATGATTCACTATAAAACCCGACTTTAAGTTGTGCTTCTGTCTGAGCACTTAGACAAGAAAGAGCCAAAAACAGAACACGAAAGATGATTGAAGAGTGAAGGGGCATCTTTAGCATCATTCTTTACTTTGCTTCAATCTTGGAAAACCTAAACACACAGTTGTCCCATTTTATAAGTGGATAAAAAAAACATATTAGTGTGTTGTTAGACAGCACATTTGCTTTGTTTAGTTTGAGCACATGACACTTTTAGTTGGAAAAAAACAATTACAATGATTCTGAAAGTAATTATTCTGTCTATTAATTTTTGTTATGGATTAAGTGATATGCTTATTGAGTGAGCTCCCTGAAGTAAGCATGCCTTGATTCTATTGACTTCAGTGCGCAAGATGCCAATGATAGCTGTTGAACTGGGTATACTATGGGACCAATAGCTTTGATATTCTGGTATAATTAACCTGTCATTGTACCATTTTAACATGCTTTGCTCTCATTAGTATTCTGACTATTATGCTGAGAATACTAGAGTTAAAAGTAAGTGTCTGTACAAAGGATGCTTCGTTTTGGTTAGATTCTAGGGAAGTTGGGTAAGACTCCATTTTTATTTGGGGGCCGGGGTAGGGGGGGATTATGGTCCTACAGAAACTGGGAAGGGGAAGGGTACGATTTTTTTTTCTAGGGGGGGATTATGGTCCTATAGAAAATGGTAAGATTGCATTATTGGGGGGTTCGAAACAGTGATAAAGACAATGCTCCTAGCAACTCTATGAAGGCATGGAAGCACATAACTGATTTTTTACTTGGAAGTAGCTATAATTATCCTCTCAAAGGGGCGTATTAGTAAAAATATGAACAGAATTAAAAAAAGAAGGTCTAGCTTGTATCACACCAGCAGTGTCCTGTGTACTGGATTATAAACCAATTTGTGGGCTGTGTTTGAATTTGAATGTTTATCTCTCTAGACATAGTGCCTTAGATCGGATCCCATTTACGAGTATTTCCTGAGTCAGTACTTGTCTACTCTTTTGAATACACGTATGATTTTAACAGAATACAGTACTGTACTGATGAAATACTTGCTGAAGTGTTAATCATTAGACAAAACATTATCTGACTAAATTCTTACTTCTAAGTACTTTGTAATAGTTATGGTTGCGGTCTTTTTAAGCATATGAATGTATATTAATAGTATAAGGTGGGAAATTCAATGTCCTGTTTAACCTCTTTGTAGTTGGCTTTTGTTTAACATGACATTTTGATACGGATACATTTCTGACAATGAGTAGCAAATAAGATACTTAACCTTACTTGAGATTTGAGATATACGGAATATATGCTATTGAGGATTTAGATCTATAAAAGCATATCATGTGACATTATTTAGTTTATGGCTGTAAAGCCATATGATATGATATCAGTAATTTTAGTGCTGTAAAGCCATTTTTGCAATCATTAAAATCTGTCTTTTTAAAGTCATATCATATTCTTCATTTTGTTGCTTTCAGCTCAGATTAGTGCAACTTTCATATCTTTATTTAGTTAACCACCCTACAGTTTCTTCGGATTTCTCCTTCATTGCCTGTAAGAATATCAGTCTATCCCATCCTCACCATAGCATCATCAAACTTCATTTCCCGAGGGTAAGAATAAGAATTTTGGGCATACTGGTTTACTAGGTCTGTTTTAGCAGTCTCTGACAAGAGAGTCTGATCTGTTGTGAACAAGCCATGGTTATTGAGGACATCCAGAATTCATGAGTCAGAATTTACAGGCTTATTAGGATCCAATAAACCATAATATTAGTATTAACATCCCCTGATCGGCACTACTGCTGCAGTTGAGCTGCAAATGCAGAGTTCATGCTGGGATCCTGTGCATACAGCCTTTTGCTGAAGGAAGTGCATTGAGCATGACCTATGTTATTAACTCCTGCACTACGGAGTACTTACGCAGCTTTGTTATTAGTTTATCCAGTGTTTTAATGCGAGTTTCTTGCTCCATCAGCTATAAGAAACCATTTCTGTAAAATTACTCTGATGCCTCTTAAAAAGCTTCCACCAAGGTTAGAGTAAAGGACAAGGGAAGCCATCATAACATCAATCGTGCAATAAGTCAATAATCCTCAGTACTTCAGGTTTATGGTAGTCTTCCACTATTTGCATCTAAAAACAGACTTGCAAGTATATAATTCATCAAATTACATATGTTTAAGACTGAAAATTATCCTTCCAGTAACACAAACAAACATGAGTTAATTCTACTTAAGACTCAGTAAGTCTGATCTCTTGACAAGGGGAATGAACCCATATTTCTTAATTGATTACCCTACAGTTTGCCCGGATTTCTCCATTAGTACCAGTAAGAACTTCAATTTGACCCATGTTTACCATTGCTGCTGCAAACTTTCTCATCCACAAGAACTGATTCCTTGCATTCTGGTTCACCTCATTAGCTGTGTTGGAGTCGGTCAACAACGTCTGATCAGATGTGAACAGGCCTTTGTTGGCTAAGACATCCTGGTAGTAATTTACATCTGAAATAAATGGGCTACGAGGGTCCATTGGAACCACCATGCTAGAATTTGTGCTTCCTTGTGGGCACTGTTGCTGCAACTGTCCTGCATATTTGGAATCCAGAGTGGGATCTGGCCCATTTGTTCCACTGAAATTGAATAGCCTGTTGTTGAAGGATGTGCAATGAGACCGTCCGATTGTATGAGCACCTGTGATCAATATTAGACTTATGTGAGGGGATTTAGGCTCTCAATAGAGTTAATAACACTAGATACATTTAGCCGAGATAGGTATTAAGTCTCATCAAAGCAAACAAACTTGGGTATGGAATAATGAATTTGAAAGCCTAGCAGGATATATGCCAATTTGACCTTTGTGATGGTGTAAAATCCTGATATGATTTGCCAAAATGGGTTTGTCTTTTTAGTTTTTACCAGTTATTCTAATTGTCAAACTAACCATTTACAGCTAAGGTCCTGTCACCTGAATAATTGTTTGTTACTGTAAAAATGGTTTTTGCTTACTTGAATTGCTGATGTTTTTGATTCAGTAGTGTTTGTTATATGCTGTTAAATCTGATTTTGACTTTTCAAAACTTATTTTTTTACTGAATAAATCTAATATGTAATGAACCATAATCTTATAAGTTGAAGCAAACATTGCCTAATTTCTCAATTAAAAATTGGCTGGTTAGTAGTTGATGAAACTGATGACAACCACTTGAACAGCTGATTGCTGTTTGTAGACCCTTATATGGAAACATGACTTATCCTCGTAGCGCTATGTATAGTCTGTCATATACTTGCATTCATCCTTGAAAGTTAAGTTTGATAATTTGAAGATTAATGCTACAAATATAGTATATGCTAAAAAGCTGATACCTGATAGGGTGACCATTTCTTCCTGTGTCAAATTTTTGTTTGCGAAACTCTGTGTAAGTTGAGTAACATTGAATGTGAATCCTGGGACATTTTGCAACACTTCTGAAGCTAAAGAGACCCTGCCATCCCTTCTTCCAGATGGAACATCGTATCTTTGTCCTCTGGTCTGCGAAACAAGTTATGCAGTAGCAGCAGGTAACAGAGTTAAATTTGTTCTACCCAAGCTTATATACTACTACTTCTTATCAGTAAAAAAAATTCTACTTACTATTGCTACACTGTCTCTAGCTGCGAAAGCTAATATATCTGCACATGACACGACCCCTTTGCATTCAGCTTCAAGTCTAGTCTTTATATTGTCGATGACCTCAAACCCTCGAAGACTAGGATTGTTTGCTGGTGAATCCTTCTCAGCAGTGTTTGCAGAAGTGGAGTCGATGAGGACGGATCCATCACAGCCCTGAAAAGAGAAGAAAGAAAACTTGTTTAGTGAGACTTAGTTCTGTAGTTCACTGAATTATAGATAACATTTGCTAATATATTTAACTTACTCTAACAAAACAGTCATGAAAGTGCATTCTGACAAGACCAGGGGCAATCCCTTTGTCATTTATAAATCCTTTCATAACTTCTTCATTGACAATTCGCTCAGCTGATGGGCATGTGTCGCAGTAAAATCCAACTCGAAGCTGTGCTTCTAGCTGAATACTTAGACAAGAGAAAGCCAAAAACAGAACAAGAAATCTTGTTAAAGAATGAATGTTCATTTTTAGGTTCATTCTGTGTTATTGTACTTTGTTTTCTTCTTGAAGAACCTAAACATGCAGTAATAACCATTTTATAGAAGAAAACAAGGAATATAAAATGATGTACATCCTAATTAGTGTGTCGTGATACAATATGTTGGGTTTATTTAAATCTGCAACATGGCATTTTTAGATAGAAGAAAACACAAACTAGAATTTTCTGATAGTTACTGACCTGTCTAATTCAATTTGGTTATGGAATACGCGATGATAAGCACTATTTAGCCACCCCTAAAGCGGTTATTCCTACTTCTATTGACTTCGGATGCATAAGAAGCCAACAAGATTAGTTGAATAGAGGTATATTTTAGGACTAATAGTGCTAATTTTTGGGCATTATTAAGTTGTCACTGTCACTGCATATTATTCAAAGTATGCATTTCATTGTTAACTCTCATATTTTATGGCATATTCTAAGGATGATTAGACAGTAAGCAACGAGTGTCAATACAAGGTATTGTGTCATAGGATGTCTCTTGTTGATTTAAACAACTTAGTGGAGATGGATGAGGCTCCATATATAGTTTTTTTCCTGGAAATTTTGGTCCTATAGGATGGAAATGGCGGAATTATTTTTCTGTTAATGGTGTTTACTGCATTATTGGGTGATTTGGAGCACTGTGAAATATTATATTTCCTTCTACTTTACTGCTGTGGTGATTAGAGACTAAGTGCATTGAAAACGGAAGGCTCTGAAGAGTGTCATTCATAAGAAAAAACGTAATCCTGAGTTCATGGTTGTCTTCTTCACGACTATACCTGTTTGTTTAACCTGTCAAAAACTTGTTAGGAAGTCCTTATCCTTTCAAAAACTATAATGGATTAGTTGATCATCCGAAAGTTTATGAAGTATCAGATAATTTAGGATCACTATGTGTTTACGTCGTTCATGGTATTAGACAATCAATACAAGCTACTGCACAGTTATAATCTTTTAGTTATGACATTTATTTATGTCTAACAAGATTGTATTTTTAGATCATGTTACTTATTCCTCACGAGCAAAGCCGGTTGAATCTCCACCGTGACAACTTAGTATTCGTTGGGAAAACTGATGCACCAAATAAGGACCATGCTTCATCATAGGTTCATAGAGTTTGATATTATGTACTTTGATGATGAAATGTTCACCTTTCTGTAAGATGTACTTACAACAGACCAAACTTTCATGCTTGCACTTTAGATGGGAGTTTCCTTAGTGATAATCTACTCATACTACTATATTAATAAACTTCAAAAAATGGACAGAATTCTATAATAATGATAATGAAACATGTGCAATTAGTACAATTAGTGGTAGGTTTTGTCATTTACTTAGAGTGGGGGTATGAACTACCTAATGCAGTATAATACTTAATTAGTATACATACTTCGTATTAGATAACGTGACCTGAATTAATACGTAATTAATTATATAGTTGTTAGTGGAAGCATTGATCTCATAAACTGTAGTCATATTTTTCAACTGGTTGTTGTATGTTTGAACACTTTTTCAACAGTTGCCTTAGTTTAAGGTGGAAGCTCTGGCCGCCACTTGATTAGAGGCGTCGTAGTTGCCTTTGTTTAACTTAACTTTGGAAAGGGTGTTATTATATGAAGGGAGGTGTGGTGACCTTGTTCAATTCATTAGCTAGCTAACAATATTATCTTTTCATTTGAAATAAGGTGTTCAACAGTTTTTATTGAGGATGCCCCAGTTTCTCAATTTTGTTTCTCACATGGCATTTCGTAAATAAACCAACAACTTTATTCAATTTTATTTAATTGTGGAGCCCACAATAATGAAAAAGTTGTTGATTTATTCATGAAAATGCCATTATGAGAAACAGGGAATTTCCCGTTTTTATTTGAACTTTCTTAAAATCAAACTGGATCTTGTTAGAACTTTTCTATTTATCAGAAAGTACCTAATTTTCATATTTTTACCACTACCAAAATACGAAATTAAAGTTACAAGAAAATGACCTACTAATGATAACATAATTAGTGAAAAACCAAATTAGCGCCATTTCACAGTATTTTTAGAGGATTGATTATGTACATACTTCACACAAATAAGGCAGTTTTTTTTCATAAGAAAAAAACTATGGGTGAGGGGAAGTAGGGGATTTTTATTGACTTTTCTAAAGTTCAGGCTTTTTTTTTAACTCTTGATTTAGCAACTATGTTTTGGAATGGATGCTTAATTAATACTCAGAAAGTCAGCAGAAAATAGAATATTCAGTAGTAGTAGTTGAGAAAATCTAGTAGTAGTTAAGATAGTGTCACTAATTTCAAATAAAAATAGCTTTGAGGTACTAGATCAAACATATACAACCATTACAATTTTATTGCTGTAAGCCTGTAATCTACAAAGCCATATATTACTTCCATTTTATTGATTTCAGCACCTAGCATAATTAAGACATCTGCATTTGATTAATTAACAACTCTACAATTGATTCGGATTTCCCCTTCAACACCAGTCAGGACGTCGATTTGACCCATGGCAACCATTGCATCAGCAAACTTCCTTCCCCAAAGCCCAGGATTTCTTGCATATTGGGTAACTAGATCTTTAGTAACAGCGTCTGATGCTAGTGTTTGATCTGATGCAAACAGGCCGCGGTTATTCAGGATGTTTCTGTAGTAAGCAGTATCTGCTGTGAAGGGGCTAATTGGATCCATTGGAACCACAGTACTGGTATCTGAGTTCACTGATGGGCACTGCCTCTGCAGTTGCGCTGCATAAGCGGCATTTATACTGGGATCCTGTCCTGATGCTGAGTTGAAATTGTATAGCCTATCAGTGAAGGAGTTGCAGTGAGCGCGACCTATGGTATGAGCCCCTGCACCCCGTAAATTTATCAAGTAATTGATTAGTTACAAATCCTTGAGGCTTATCTTCCTGTTTCAATTTCTTTTGCACAAGATATGGAGTAAAATTAAAATTTGTTAATTGATTACCAGATAGGATAACCATCTCTTCTTGTGTTAATCCTTTGCTGGCAAATATTTTAGTGAGTAGATCAACGTCGCCAAATGCTGGAGGCAAGTTCTTCTTGATGTCTGATTCTAGGGAGATTCTACCATCTCTTCTTCCGGCATAAACATCATAGCCAAATCCTCCTGCCTACATAAATGATCAAACATACTAGTTAATTACTACTACTTGCTGCAACATCAAACTTACAGCCAAACTTGGCAGAACTTTCTATGTATTATACTATGTTTAAATATATTAAGACGAAATAATTTAAGAAGTCTTTCTTGTTCTTTAGTTTAGTTACCATTTCAACAGCATCTCTAGCAGCATAGGCTACTATATCAGCACAGGACACAACTCCTGGACACATATTTTCAATTTTAGCCTTGGCATTATCGATGACATCAAACCCTCGCAGGCTAGGATTATTAGCTGGTGCATCTTTCTCGGCTGTGTTTCCTGGAGTTGAATCTAGGAGCACTGATCCATCACATCCCTACAAGTAACATAACAAATTTTGTTAGATTATTATCGTGTATACTATACCTATGAGAGTATAAATCTCATTATCTACTAGAACATTAGCTTTAAGTGGAAACATTAAGAGTTACTGATACAATATAGGCCTGCATTCAGTCATGCACCAAACTATCCTTTAAAGATGGCACTTTTTCTTGCAAGTTTCTGGAAGAAATGCATTCAATCAGTGGAAGTTGGTTTAGCTTTAGACTTTAGTCCTTTCGATAATTAAATATATAATTGCATATACCAACTTAATGATTGTTTCCTTGGAATTTAGCTAGGAAGGTTACTGAAAAGACACCCAGGTTAAGGAATAAAATCCCACTAATTTTCGGTTATAATAACTTGGCTTTGTAATAACTGGCTGCTGAACAAAACTAGGAAGGTGCAAAAAAATGCAAAAGTTGTATAGTCAGATTATTAGTAACTTACTCTAACGAAACAGTCATGGAAATGCAGCCTTACAAGGCCAGCAGCATATCCCCTGTCACTGAAAAATGCTTCGCGGACCTCATTTTTTATGATGAACTCAGCCATAGGGCATGACTGCATATAAAACCCTCGTTGAAGTTGTGCTTCTAAGAAACCAGTAAGACTTAATATGACCAAGATTGAAAAGGCTATAGTAGTTGAAATTTGAAGACATTTCCTAATTTGACTCATCTTTCTTTTTCTGTACTGATACTTCTGACAATGTCTGTTTACTTACTCCGAAGATCTTGTGCACCTCTGAAGGGAATTTTATAGTCAAAGGGAGGCAATATAAAATTATATATTCGCGCCACAATTTTAACAATCTTAGTTTATTTTAATGTTCCATGATCTTAATTCTTAGTGCGTTATACAGAAGTAGTATACTGTCATGAGTCATTAGTGTTTTGATGTTTACAGACAATTGGGAAGATAAGACAAAGAGGATTGGTTAGGCCTACAATTATTTATTTGATTGTTGTCATTTACAGGCACTCCTTGCTTAGTAAGTGCTAATTAATGTTATTGACCCGTAAAAAGTGGCTTCGCTTATGGATCAATCAGAAAGTGTCCACTGTGTATTGATTTGAGTGGTGGAAAACTGAGGACTGTGGAGCATTGCAGTTGAAGATTGATATGGAATACTTAACAAGATTAATACTAAGTTTGATTGTGCTCTAGAGTTACGCCGCCTTTGTCTTCTATCTAAACTTAAACCTGTAAACTTACCACTAATATTTGACTAATTGTATATTTTACTTCTGCAGCAAATAAAAGTTCAGATTGATGGACTGTGATGCTAGGCAGCTTATATTTCACTAGGGAAGATAATTAGGATATAATAAGATAAATGACTGATCAAGGTCAAAACTTGAGAAATCCCTTTCAGAACGCAACAGAAATGCATGACAGTATTCCCATTGATGTAGTGGGGGCTTGCTAAGGGGTATCTAATGTACCCTTCAATTGTATGTGTCATGTATATTTACTCGGACTTGATAACCCACAGGTATGTCGATTGTCCCAGTGTTAGGCTCGACTATCTAATGATTTGGTTCAAATCAAACAAGTGTTGAAATGCTCATTCCCATATTGGGTTGGTTAGTATCCAACATGGGTCCTTCAGGTATAATGAAGAGTCCGCGTAACATAGTATGTAACTTTTAACTTGTTCTTCAGAGAAGGGGTTTTGTCACACTTGAACTTGAGACCTTCAAGTCACCTTGGAACAATTTTCCTTTAGGTGAAAAGGTATAAATAAGGTCTCATTGAAAATTTGGGATCAGGTTTAACTAGTAAGGTACATGTAAATTTTTCATTTGGTTTCATTTTAACATGACTAACATATAATTCACCAAGAAAATTAATAAACTCTGACATTTCTGAAACTCTATCCTTGTTATATAGTCTGACAATTCAGGAAACATTGTGAGAATGGTAGCCCAAGATTTAAATTGGCTTAAAGAGGCCTTTACCAGTAAAGTAGTAAACAGAATTACAGTAACAGCAGGAAATGCAGCAAATTCTGCTCTGTTGTCTATTCCTTTTATGAGTTAATCACCCTGCAATTAGCTCGAATCTCTCCTTGATCACCAGTCAGAACTTGAATCTGGCTCATCTTGATCATAGCTTGAGCAAAATCTCTGCGCCAAGCAAAACCGTTTGCTGCATAATCTGCTGCATCTTGAGCAGTTTTCTGACTGTCTAGGAGCGCCTGATCAGAAGTAAATAGACCGCCATGTTGGAAAAGATTTCTATAGTAGCTCGATTCCATAAGAAATGGACTTTGGTTCATGAAAACAACCGAGTTTTGATCAGCATTTCCTTGAGAATCTCTGGGGCACTGTTGCTTCAAAGACTCTGCATAGGATGGATTTAGGTTCGGGTCCTGCATCGTCGTGGTGCTAAAGTTGTAGAGTCTATTAGTGAATGGGGAACAGTGTGAGCGCCCAATTGTATGTGCTCCTGTAAACATATAGATAAAACATATTAATATAGTTTATTCTGCTTTAATTTTTCTTTTGTAACTGTTTTTCTGTTGTATTTTCTTAGGAAAGGTCACATTGAACTTATTAAATGGAAAAGAAACAGACTTACCAGAAAGAATAACCATCTCATCCTGTGTTAAGCCCTTTTTTGCAAAAGATTGAGTGAGTTGATCAAGGTTAAACGTCGGAGCAGGGATTTCTATTGTTTCTGATGCTCTCGAAATCTTGCCATCTTTACGTCCTGCTGGTACATTCCAGTATTGTCCACCAGTCTACATGCTCAATAAGGCCAAAACAATATCAGAAGACTCAAGTAATTGACTGTCCAAAATTTAGCTATTAACAAAAGATTTTACAGAAAATTGAGGTTGGTTGATGGTCTTACAAATAATACTGAGTCCCTTGCAGCAAATGAAAGGATATCAGCACACGACACAACCCCTTTACAAGCAGCTTCGAGTCTAGCCTTAGCATTATCGATCACTTCAAGTCCTCGTAAAGTAATTCCATTGGGTGGACCATCCTTCTCAGCTTGATTTGTTGAGGTTGAATCTATAAGGATTGATGCATCACAACCCTGTAACAAAAACAATAGTTTAATTCGCGCACAAACATTTATGTTGAAGTACATAATCATGTATGTATGATAATATGAGGAAGAGCAAGATTAACAAATATAATGTGTGTAATTTTATTACCCTGACAAAGCAGTCATGGAAATGCAGCCTAACAATGCCAGGAGCAATCCCGGTGTCTCTAAGAAAAGATTTAAAAACCTCGTTCCTAACAATAACTTCAACAAAGGGACATGTATCGAGATAGAATCCTACTTGCAGTGCTGCTTCAATGCGCGAGCTTAAGAAACATGCAACTACAATCATTGCCAAAGCTAGCTTCATTTTCATGGCTAAATTAGCTGCTCTGATCTCTATCTATTATGTTCCTAATATTTGATACAAGTGATGTGTTGTAATTACAATTGTTAGTAGTTCTGAGTTTGTTATACAGAAAAATCCCAAGGATTTATTTATAGCAGGGAAAAATAATGCACACATTTGGAAATATAATGTTGCCCCCATAATTTCTATCCACTAGATACTTTCTTTGTATTCTACTATAACCATAAATTCACATGCTATTACATACTTGTGTCATTTGCAATTGTTTATAATAGAGAATATACTTTATATTATATTATTAAAGCCTTATTTTCCTTATGTTTGCACTTAATAGTAAAAACTTAACAATGTATTTTGTATATATAAATTTTAATAAAATACTTATATAATTACGGATATTAATAGTCAAAATTGTGTATTTATAAAAGTCAAAGTATATTGCAACTCAATAAATAGAGGAAGTAGACACTCGAATTAATTAAGTTAGTTGTTCTGCATTAGATTTTATGATTAGTCACTTAATTGTAATTAAGCCATATTTCACCAAATTGCACATGATTGCCCTTCCAATGTTTGCACTTAATAGTAAAAACTTGTAATTAAGCCATTTTTCACTAAATTACACATGATTGAGACACTAGACCAACCTTCTTCCAATGAGGCAAGTAGGCAACCCCTTATTTAGGCAATTGTAATTGAATGAAAGGTATGAAAAATTCCATTGCTTTAGTCAGTCTCTTTGATTAAGCCTTGATATTAATAAAATCAAAGCGATGGATTTTGTTACGCCGCTGATGAGCTAACAGATGGCCAATAATTGGATGATGAAAGCCAAATACAAGAGTAGCAGTATGGAGAAAATTGTGTAACAGAATGCAAGTTGATGTAATACAATATCACCAATAACTATGCTTTTTATCATTGTAGTTTATTTAGTAAGATTTATGTGTGTTGTTTTGTTATTTTTAACATTTTCACATACATGATTTACCAAGAAAGTGTGTCTTATTTGACAATTCTGAAACTCTTCATCTTTAAGACTTTAAACTCTAGTCTGACCATTCCAAAAGACAGAAACGCGACATTAACAAACATTACACATCTCAAGATCTACAATTTGATATTGTTAGTCTAAATCTCTGGCTTATTAAGAATTACTAATGACTGCAGCATTACAGTAACATCAGGAAAACCAGCAAATTTTGCTATGTAACCCAATAGTCTAATCTTTTTTATGGATTAATCACCCTACAATTAGCTCGAATTTCTCCTTGAGTTTCAGTCAGGACTTGAACCTGGCTCAACTTGATCATAGCTCGAGCAAAATCCACCTTCCAAGCTAAATTATTCGTTGCATAAACTGCCGCCTGTTCTGCAGTCGTCTGGCTGTCCAGGAGTGACTGATCAGAATTAAATAGACCAGCATGTTTGAAAAGATTTCCATAGTAGCTTGAGTCCATGAAAAATGGACTTTGGTTCATAGCAACAACCAAAGTTTGGTTGAGAATTCCTTGCAAAAATCTTGGACACTCTATCTTCAAGAACTTTGCATAATGTGGATCTAGGTTCGGGTCCTGCATCGTTTTGGTGTTATAGTTGTAGAGTCTGTCTGTGAACGAGAAACAATGTGAGCGACCAATTGTGTGTGAACCTGCATATATACATATAAATAATGTTATGAATATTAGCTGGTTTAAATTAAACTTTTGATCATGTTTTTTTTTTAAGTAGGCCTTTTTCTTTTCTTTTTGCCTTAACTCTGCTGTGTGATACTGTAATGTACTATGTTTTCATGTACTGGTGTGACTGTGCACATGCGCGCCTTGAAGTGTTAGAACATTAGATGATTAGAAGAGTCAAGAACAAGGTACTTCTTCAAGGCGCATAATTCAACACATTCAACCAAAACATGAATGTTGTTGAAGAATTATCAGGTATTTAGATCACACATAATTGATCATAGGAAAAAATGGAGACATACCGGAAAGAGCAACCATATCACCCTGTGTCAAACCCTTCTTTGCAAAAGATTCGATGAGTTGATCGAGGTTAAAAGTGGGTTTAGGGATATCTTCAGTTTCTGATGCTCTTGAAATCCTGCCATCCCTCCTTCCTGCTGGTACATCCCAGTACAGTCCTCCTGACTACATACATTCCCCAAACAATATTTGTACATCAGACTAATTAATGCCTCAGATAGTACTAACAGACAGCGAGTCAGACATTTAGTAATGAGATTGATAGATGTGCTTACAATTACATTGGAGTCCCTAGCAGCATATGCTATAATATCAGCACAGGACACAACACCCATACACACAGCTTCGAGTCTAGCCTTAGCATTGTCGATCACCTCAAGACCTCGTATTGCTACATTGGGTGAACTGTCCTTCTCAGCTTGATTTTCTGGGGTTGAATCTATCAGTAGCGATCCATCACAACCCTGTCACAGAAAAATAGTTAATGCATACATTTATTATTAAGTACTTACTGACTTATTGTCATGTAATACGAAGTATATATGAAGAGCAAGAGTAGTAGCATGGATAATGAATGTACATTACCCTGACAAAGCAATCATGAAATTGCAGCCTGATAATGCCAGCAGCAATCCCTTTGTCTGCAAGAAAGGATTTTTTTACCTCGTCTTTGATTATAGCTTCAGCAAAGGGACATTTATCGCGATAAAATCCTACTTGCAGTCCTGCTACAATATGATCAGAACTTAAGAAACATGCTACTAAAATTACTAAAGCTAGCTTCATTTTCATGAGTATATTAGCTCTCTGTATTCTTATATTTTGATGCAAAAATCTCATTATGATTGATGTTAATATGAGTTTGTTACTCAGAAAACTCATTGGTATTTATAGGGGGTCAGGCAAGTGTACTTACTCTAGTTATTCCTTTCGAATTACCCTTTACGTATATGCACATATAACACTACTCATGTACAATATACATGAGCTATGTGATATTTAGGCTTTAGCGCCTCTACTCCTCTAGTTAACCTGTCGCCAAAAAAATTCACTAATGTAACCATGATCCAAATCAATTATAACACGCGAGATAGCTAGTCATTTTTCTATTAAGGTTGATTTTCAAGATGTTAATATAGATTAGTCATATTAAGCGAAATTTAACTTGAAATTATATGATTGGTCGGAACCACAAATGACAGGTTGAATACTTTAATCATAGACTTTAGCCTATATTTCATAATTTTACAACAACAAAGAATATGATCACTATTGGAATCCATATACATTTTGAAATGAACAAATTAATAATGATCCATTATTCCACTGCCAAAAGTTTTGGTAAAATTATTACTCAAGAAGCATATAAACCATAAAAAACAGCTAATAATTCCACTAATGATAATTAGTTCCTACTATAATTACTTTCCATAGCATTCTGTTATTGGTTAGCTAGCTAGTTCTCTACCCTCATTTATATAGCCTCATCCCCTTTCATTTTTTCATTACTTGATTTTTTTTTTTCTTCTTGTTTTTTGGCTGAATACAAACTTGGTAAGCTATTTCTACACTAGATTTTAAGTACATTTGGTTCATAATTAAATATGTAGTAACCCTACCACAGTTAGCACCTTTTAGTAAACTTGAAATTAAGACAAATTTCTTTATAATGAACATGATTGTGACCAAAGAACTAACCCTCTTATGAGGCAAACACACATTAAGTAATTTTAGTTGAAAAGACATACCGCTATTTTTAGCAAGTTAGATTTTTTTTATCTTTTAATGTTTAGGGGTTTCCAATGAAAAACAAAAGAAAAAAAAAAAAGAATACTACTCTGTACTAGTTAATTACGGAGTAAATGGAGGCTATGGAGCTATAGAATATCTGAAAATGTTCGAATTTCTCCCTCCAACCAGAATTAATACTCTGTGATTGATATTAATAATCTTTATTAATATGTATTCTTCTTCTATACGTAATATATACTCCGTATAAAGGAAACATTTTTTAGAAGTCATTAGAAGTCATTCGGTGCATCACACAAGCAAAGACCTTATTTTGACCGATGAAAAAAAAAACATTATATTTTATTTTAGAATTAAAAAAAAAAAATCAAAGACATTATGGTTGATAATAATTTGTACAAGGGTTACCCGCGAAACCCTTATACCCTTATACAAATTATCAACCATGGCAAAGTCATAACTAGAGTACCTTTCTGAAACCCTTTTTGCAGAGTATATATTCAAACAAGCCTAATCCATGCAGTAGAAAGTTTGATAATTGGATACAAAATGTACGAACAATTAGACATTAAAGTTAGTATATATCCAAACAAGCATAATCCACGCAATAGAAAGTTTGATAATCCAAGACGTGCAATCACTTATTACAAACTTAAAAGAAAAGAAAAAAAGGTTCTGGAGGTAACTAATTATTATGTACAAGCGGCTTTAAAACGTGCGAGGGAGGACATCACGGCATCAATCCTGTTTTCAGACATCACGGCTAGAGACATGTTCCCAGTCTGCTGATGAAGAGCAGTCGTTATCATACCAGCCCTCGAAAATCACACTGTTCTTGACAATTGGAGCTAATGCCTGATCACTGACACCATTCACACCAATTTTGAGTATATTTACATCTTCATCCTCAGTCAATTCAGGATATGGCCCAAAAGAGGTTATCTTGATGTTCAAGTCCTGCTGCGAACCACCCATTTTTTCAGTTCCATCCTCAGCAACTGCTGTACTTGGAGTTGAATCATTGATCATGGAGTTTGAATGATTCATACGACTTTGTATGATCCGGAACCTAGCCATAACAGAGGCCTCATTTTCATCAGTAACACCCAATGAGTTAGACAGTTGGGAATCCGTTAAAGCCTTATCTGGGATGGAGAAACTATTGCCAGGCAGATAGTTTTCATCTCCTGGTGACTGTTCGCCATCGTAGTTTGTGTAATCTGAGTTGCCATCCCGACACTTCAAAATTTGATACCCACCAAAAACAGTATCAAGATCACTTTCTTTGGTAGTCATGCCTGAAGCATTTATACCATTGCCTGAATCATACAAACTCGAATGACACTTGTATTCACTAGAAGATTGTTTGCTCTCATTATTCAGAGAGTCTAAGCAACCAACACGATTCCTAAGGATTTGATATCTGGCCATAACACCAGTGTCAACATCATTGGCATGGCTGGCAGTGAGTGAATCATCGGACTCGTCTCCAGGGGCACCTGGTTTAGAAAGACAAGGCGATGGAAAATTGGTTTCCTTTTTGGTTGATCCTGACCTTTCATGTTCAGAGACATGTGAGCCCACTACCTGTAGATTTGTAGTATGGAAGAACCCTGTGTGATTATGATAGCTGGTTGTAGTAGACTTTGGGCATTCACTAATTAGCGGGGGTTTTTTATCCTCATTTGCTAATTCATCAGCCCTACGTAAATCTGCAAAAACATCAGAGCTCATAGGGATATTTCTATCTGCAACATACTTCCAATCACTTTGAGCAACAATATTAAACTAGATTACCAAACACAATGAACTCAAGATAAAACTTACCTTTTGTTACATCATGGATCCTCTTCATCTCGGTCTTCATACGAAGAAAGCGAGCTTTAGCAGTCATGACACAGAGTGAAGCTTCCGCTTCAAGCCACAGATTTCTATATAAAAGTTTTTGCTGGTCTATATCCTCCTCTTCAAGATTCTCAGAAAGAAGCTTCTTTACAGCCTGTAACCAGAAATTGCTGTTTGTTAAAACTAACAAAATCTCCTCAATTATATTCTCTTTATTTCCTCTTCCATTCTAAAGAAGCATACCTCCGTCATATTAGCATCCCCGAATGGAATTCTATCATCCTTTACAGAAACATTATCCAAAATCTCCGCAGTTGTCCCACCAAACCTCACAGAAGCAGCAAATGCTTCAGCATCATTCACCTGAGACCCACACTAAGCAGCATAAGCAACTCAGTTATAGAATACTAAACAGCATTATTGAACTTCAGGATAATAGATTATCCAAGAGAAAGAGCATAGTAGGGATATCCTAGTCCTCATGCATAGGGATTCTTCCAGATCATGGAAAATATAACTAAAACAGAATGCAAAAGCAACATACCATCTGACCAGCAGGAAAATCTTTCTGGAGATAAGAGTCTGGTGAAGAAAGCACATTAGTATGTCCAGTCATTGTTAACATGGAAGCATTAAGATTGTTGATGATCTGCTTAATGGCTACAGATTGTATCCCTGCAACTTCAACTTGATTATTCAGGATGTAGCACCGAAGTATTTCTGATAGATTCATCATTGTTCTCAGCAGAACATTAACATCAATTCTTGAATCAGGACCTTCACTGGCTGACTTTACACTGGCTTCATTTTCAGGAAGTGAATTAGAGCGATTAATGTCAATATTTGATGGCAAACCAGAAAGACTCTTTGCAGCAGCAGGAGTACCCTTCCCACTTTTTTCAGAAGAAGGATTTGCTGAAACATTTCTTGCAGATGACAAGTCTCCTTTAAGATTGAGTTGTGCAGTCAGAGAATGTTTTAGGTCTGACACTGCTTTTGATTTGTTCATCATACCACATTCCATGACAGAAGCATGGCAATCATCAGCAGATTGAAGGCCATCTCCAGTATTAAGATCAAAGCAATAGGATTTTGGGTTCTTCACAATACCAATATCTTCATTGCCATTTGATGAGCAATCCAGGGCTGAAGGCCTCTCTAAGGAAGTTGCCTCATTTACTTTTCCAGAGTAAAAATCTTTAGAAGCAGAAGCATTATAAAAAAAGCTCTTATTCTGGAGATCCTGAGAACTCAAACTTCTGCATCTATCTATTTTCTTTGCAAAAACATCAGAAGCCACACTTTCAGAGCGCCCAAATGGTGAAAATTGGGATGAAGCTCCTTTCCAGCATGGTGAATCTTCAGCAGGGTTATGGCCATCAGACCCCCCAGAATGTTTCTCTATAGAATACACAGCTTCAGCATCACTAGCGTCCATGTTTAAACCATCTAAATTTAATTCATGAGGTAGTTCAGGTGAAAATTTCCTTTTCTCAGAAACAACTTTGTCATCAAATCTATTATCTGCAGTTTCTCTTATTTGGCAAGAGGATGCTGCTGTTGAGGAGGGGACAGGTCTTCTAATTCTAATGCTCGAATGGCTTTTTGAGCCAACTGGCATCTGAGGCTCCATTTGATAAGAGTTATACCCTGCAGCAGAGTTACTTTGGTTGGCTGCATCAATACCCATAGAATCCACATTAGCACCTGATAGAGTACTTTGCACTAAAGAGCTGCTCCCACCATACGGTAATTTAGACACAGTCATGGGGAAAGTGTTGTTGGTTGATGGACGACCAAACATATAATAGCCTGTTTGGCTGAAGTGGTCCTCGGGTGAAGAACTAATCGCCTTTTGAGGGCCACAGAAACTTATAATTGATTCCAGGACTGGTTCCTGAAGATGAGAGCTTTCTTTAGTGACGGATGCAAAAGCAGAGGTTCGTGCTCTTGAGCAATCAGATGATAACTTACAATCTAGCTGATTTATCCCAAGACTTCCCAGACTATATCCTCCCCCAAAGATATCGAAGCAGTTATCTTTAGCAGTAGAGACTTGCCCATGTAAACCACAAGCCCCTGAATATAAGAACAGCAAATATCACCGATCACAAAGATATCAAGGATTTAGCATTATACATACCAAGAAGATATAATGTTGAAAGATAATCAAAAGACTTATCATGACTGTTTGGTTTCTCATGGCCAAAAGAAAACTATAACCAACAAGCTTTCACATTTAAATGGTACACTAAAAAGCATTCATGTGTTTCTGAGAAACATGCTTCCCGTTGCTATGATAGATTCATAGATACCAAAATTAGCATGGTTTCATAAGCTAACAACATGTAAAGTGATTTGGGAAAGGAAATAAAAACCCTTGATGGTCAATTTTTAAAAATAAACCAATTTTGTCCACCTCAGTGATCACTAGCATGAAAAAACGGTAGAATACTTTGATCAACATCATCATCACTACCCTAATCCCCAGTGCTAACAAAGCTCCCTCTCTAAACTGGGTAAAAGGGGTATAATGTTGGACACTCATATACATATATTCTTACCCCATGAGAACAATAGATTGTTTCCAGTTGACACTGCTGAAATACAGCAGCTGTCTTGTACTCCACAATGACTTATTTTAATTAGTCCATTTAAATCCAAAACTCAAAAAATATAGGATTTTAACTCCTAGAACAGAATCTTAACAGCTGCTGTTTAAAAAAACACACTAATCCCACCATAACACAGATACAAAGCTAAAACTATCAGGGCTGAATCAGAAGATCTCAGCCACAATAATAGCTCGAAAAATGTAAAGTATGGAAATACACTGGCCCCAGCATTCCACCAACATCAGTACTGAGATTTAGCAAGGTGCCTAGACTATGTCAAAGCAAGCTATACAATTTACTAAATACCTTGCCAACATCACAACTAGTACGAAAATTCAGAGACATTAAGAGAGCAAGAGAAAAGGTAATATTGATCACTTAAAAGCCAAACAACATCAAATTTGGTAAGAGCTCATGTTATATAAAAGTTACAGGACAAAAGGCCGGGAATAACATAAACATAACACCATATGTATAAAGCAACAGTAAACTTTCTCATTCATATCCAATCACAATTGACCCATTCCCCAGTAAATTTAAAAAATTTCCTGATTATACCCTTTCTACTTGTTCGGTCATTCAACTTCACTAGCAACAATTAATAAGCCATAAACAACAAAGAACAAGCCAACGAAAAAAAGAAGTCGACTCTCACTAGCATTAAAAATGCTAATCCTAGAACAGAACACCATGGCATTGAAATGGTCTACAAGAACATGCAAAGAAAAATGGAGTAAAATACCTTGATTTGAAGTCTTGTTGCTCACATCACCAAACAGATTATTGCTGTTGCTTCCACTAGCAAAAGAATGAACGTTGATGTCAACAGAAGGTTGACTCTTGTTATTCCCATCAACAAGAGGACTCTTGTTGTTGGATAGCTTTGAACTATTTAAGTCCTTCGAGACAAATCCCTGGGTATAATCAGTCAATTTGCCATGATCATTCTCATTCAATCCACTCCAGGAAACCCCCCACTTTGATTTATATCTTCCATCACCAGACATAGCTTGTGTGTGATCAACTTGAGCAGAACCACGTCCGCTCAAATGAGCAGACAGCAAGTCATAACTTGGCCCATTACCAACCCCCAAACCCAAGTATTCATCTTTCTGGGGTGGAGGAGAAACATATGGAGGATAAAAAGGCTTTGCAGCCTCATCAGTCTTTGTGGTTGGAAAAGGTTCATACGGAAAGGGGTCATATGCAGGCACAGAATTAGTGTTACCATAATAAACACTGGCAGACGAACTGCTGGATTGGGGGTCTCGGTACCCATACATGTGAGCTGAAGATGAGCAATTGGTATTAGTAACCACAGACTCAGTTGCTACAGAGTTTGGTCCAGAGTTAGACGACGAAGACGAGTTCCAGAAGTGGCCAGGGGTGGGATCAAAGCAAGTACCATACACAGGCACATCAGGATAATTCACCGACGTGTTCGTTGAATTCGGCTTCAAAAGGAATTTATCAACCTTAAACGGGGGAGCTAAGGGTGAAAGATTAGATGATGATAAAGATCCTCCAACCCTATATGCCCCTGACCCAGAAGAAGTCATCATATCTTATAGCAATCTTCAAAATTCACACTTATTTCTTAGTCTTCCAGCATATGATTCCTTCCTTCATCCAACCAAATGCCCAGCAAAATTAAATACCCAGAATCAGGAAATAAATAATCAACAATCAAAAACAAAATAATTAAGCAGAACACTATCTACAAACTGAATTAGAAACCCCAAAAAAGAAAAAAGCAAAATCTTTTAGAATCAAAGAGATTAACATGATTACACTATAATCTGATAAATTTGAGAAAACCCCATCAATAATCAATCTAATATTAGGGTTTAGCAGACAATTAATTCCAAAGAAAAAGGCAAAATCTTTTAGAATCAAAGAGATTAACATGATTACACTATAATCTGATAAATTTGAGAAAACCCCATCAATAATCAACCTAAGATTAGGGTTTAGCAGACAATTAATTCCATAATATAACAAAACCTAAAAATCTCACAACACCTAAAATCCATATTAAATCAGATATTTAAAACGCACAAAAATATCAAGAACAATGAAACTAATCAAAATCATTCAAAATCAAAACTTGAAAAATAAAATCAACAATTCATACAATAAATTAGGGATAACCTGAAGATTGATCGATGAACCCACAAAACTACGTCGTTGGATGCTCTCTTTTTCTTCTTCTTTCTCTTTAACCCAGTCACTCTGTTTATGCAATTGGCATCAATTTTTCTTTTTGTTTGGGTTTTTTTGACTCCATTTTTTTTTTATTATTTTTATTTATTTGTTTTACGCCACAGTCTATGGACCTCTATTTGTCAATTCAGATTCTCAACCACGTGTCGGTGGTTGAAATTTTTATTAATTTTTTTTTTTCTTATAATTTTTTTTTTTCTGATCTTTTATTTGAGAACAAGATAAAGTGATAAACCCGTAGAAGTAATACAAGTATACAAAGTAGTTGGTGATCAATCAATTGTACATTTGTACAAGTACAATTTTGAAATTCCACATTTTTTGTATTGGAAAATAATTGCACGTTTGACAATAATGAGATTTTGCTTGAGTTTGATTAGACAGTTAGAAAGAAAAATGATATGTAAAGAGTATATAAGAAATTTATTAAGGAGAGTTAAAAAGGATTATTAGGCATTAATAACATTAATGTATGCATAATTTGTTATAAATTCAATACATTTTAGGATTGAATATATACTAATATATATGCATAATCTATAAGTTAATCTATGCATGATTTGTTAAATTCTATACATTTTTAGGAAATATATTTGGTAATTATGCAATGTCCAGCGTTATATGCATAGCCATTAATAGAATAAGGAAATGATGTACATTTTTGGTAGTTATAACCATCATATAATATAATCATATAATAATAACTAATATATAAAGCTAAACTTTTAGTCAGGTGACGAGACAGCGATAATTGGCGTTTCAACTTTTTGCCAAGTGTCGTACTTTTTGCCAAGTGTCGTGCCACGTAGGATAGAGTTATATAAAATTCAATTTGTAGGATAAAAAAGTTAGTTTAAAATTTTATTTTCAATCAACTTTGGATATAATTTTAGGATAAAATTGTTAATTTAGAGTTTTATTTTTGATAAAGTACCAATATTTCATATGTACAAATTGAATTATAATTTTATTCAAAAAATAATTAGATTATAACTCTCATAAATTATCATATAAATTTATTTTTTGTATCATTATATTTTTTAGAGCGAAGGAGTTAGTTCAAAATGTACCACATCCATGGGTTATAATATATTCTAATCAATTAAAATAATATACTTCACAATCTAATATAATTTTATTATTGTCTGTAGACCTGTTAATCAGGCCGGGTTACGAGTCATTTCAGACAGGGTCAAGAAATGTTTTTCACCAATATTATTATTATTAGTCATTACATGTCTACAAGTTTAAATCGTTACAAAAATACGTCAATTGCTAACTAATTTTGTATCAATGATATATTTTAAAATTTGACGTATAGATTAAAATATATCTTAAAATTTAATAACAACCCGGGCATCGCACGGGCACAAAACTAGTTAATATATAAAGCTAAACTTTAAGAGTTTAAGTCATGTCACGAGATAACAACCCTTGATTTTCCAGTTTTTCGACAAGTGTCGTGCCCACATAGGCGATAATTATTTATTAATATGACACCTAGGATTTATTTGATTTTTTTTTTTTTTGTAGAATAGGATTAAAAAAAAGGTTGGTTTTTGAAATCTATTTTCATTAAAATTTGGATAGATACAAATCCATACAATGGTAAAGACTAGAATAGACCCGGTCTACAATAACTTATTGTAGATCCAACCTTCTAGTATACCTTACGAATTATACGAAATGCGATTATATTACTACAAAAGTGATTCCAACTGTTATGTAAATGTTTCACTAAAAAAGTGAATTTATCATTATAAAAAAATATCAAATAGTAAATTACATCAGATAAAATATGATTTTTAAATATTATCATCCTAAAGATAATTATATAATCTCATTAAATGATTTACTATGAGATTATATAATTCAAAATATGACTCATAAAAAGATAATTATATAATCAAAAAATGTGATTATATCATCCAAAATGTGATTTATTATTTGAAAGTGTCAAATTTTGAGTCTACAATAATTTATTGTAGATACAAGACCAACTAAGATACAATAGGATATGTTTCAAAAAAAAAAAAGATACAATAGGATAAAAAAATTATTTTAAGTTTTATTTTCAATAAAACTTTTGGTTTAGAATTTTATTTTCAATAAAATACTAATATTTCTATACAAAGAAGGGAAGTGAAATTTCTTAGAAATTTTGAGTTCCCACAAAATTTAGGAATCCATGAATTTAACTATACCAATTCTCATAATTTTACTATTCATAAGAAGTTCTAATTACCATGTGAACTAAACTTCATCTCATCACTTAAAATCTTATCCTAACCCCAAAAATATTACGGAGTAGCAAAAATACTTGGAAAACAAAAAACCCCTCTTTTTAGAGCCCAAAACTAAAGTTGAATGCAAATTCAACTTAAACTGAATGCAAATTCCTTGGGCCCAACGGAACAATAGCTATTACAAAAGTCTAAATCCAATATGAAATCTCTATCACTTGTATAAAACGCACCAGAGAATAAAACACACTTTTGTTCTCAACTTCATCTGCTCTCATTGCTATCCATTTTGTCTTCCTAAAACTGCCGACTTTCTGGTAACTTTTTCTCTTCTTTCGTTTCTTTCTCGTTAATTTCATTTTACCCTTCTTGAATCTCTGCTGATTTGGATTTGTTCAAGCTATTATTATACGAATTTATGTTTGTTATCAAATTTAATTGGGTTTTTTTTTTTTTTCCTTGTGATTTGTGGATTCAAATTCAATTGGGAATTTTCTGATTATTTTGAGATTTTTTTTGTTGTAACCAATATTGATTATGTGATGTGATTTAGATGCTTCCTTGTCTGCAACTTATACTTCGTCTGTTCGTAATATAGTCCTATGGGATCTTGTTATAATTCTATAATTGACTCGGTGTATGTTTCCAAAATATCAACTTTTTATACTCGTAGTTTTTGATTGTTGAGATTTAAAGATATTTCGCTGTTGAAATTATGGATTGGCAAGTGTAAAATTAGAAGTGTAGCAAGTGTAAAATTAGAAGTGTAGCAAGTATTAAGAAACGGAGGAAGTATGCCATAGCTCACGGTTTATATCGGTTTTCACTGATCTCCATTGTTAGGAAGGCTAGCTCAGTGCAATTTAGAGTTGATTTAGAATATTTGAAGAATTGGTTATGTAGCAGTGTAGGTGCTGAATTTGCACTTACTTGGATTAGGATTTGTAGTGCCCTATAGGTTTGTCTTTTGAGAGTTTGAGACTGTAAGTCTTTAAACTAAGGGTTGGTATCTCAAATAAATTTGTTCTCGTATTTTTATGATGTTTCGAGGATTGTAGGCTTGTAGCAATGATGAAATCTTAATTACAGCAAATGGGATTGTGTGTTTCTATAGCCTTTGTTTTCTTTGTTGGTAGAGAACAAGAAATCATTTGTACATATAGTGAATGACTATCCATTTGTCTTGTTGGAGTTATCGTTTCAATGGAAAAGAAAAAATGTGATAATTCAGTCAAGTGGGGTCTTGTTATAGTTGATTCGGCAAATATTATTAAATACTTCCTCTGTCCCCCATTTTTGCACCCACTTTATGACACATGGTACAAAAAAAGGGACAGAGGGAGTATCAACTTTTTAAAGCTTTTAATTGCTGAAAATTAGAGATATTCATAGTTGAAATTACGAATTGGTAATTGTGAAAATGAAAGTTTTGCAAGTAATAAGTAACGGAGGAAGTATGCCTTGACTCACGAGCTATATCGATTTTTGACATGGTTGAGGAAGATTAGCTCAGTGCAGTATAATTGTATACAGTTAAGATTTAAAATATTTAGATAGTTGGTGATGTAGCAGTGTAGCTGCTGAATTTGCAATCACTAGGATCTGAAGTGCCCTTTAGCCCTTTAGGTTTGTATGTTATGATTGCAAGTCTTCAAACTAAGGGTTGGTATCATACAAATAGTGAATGACTGGCCCATTTTTTTGTTGCAGTTATCGTTTCAATGGGAAAGAAAAAATCTGATGATGCCGGAACCACTTCGAAAGGTCAATCCAAAGAGGGGAAGAAAGAGAAGTTTTCTGTTTCAGCCATGCTTGCTAGCATGGATGAAAAGCCGGACAAAACAAAAAAGGCATCTGTGTCTAGTAAGCCCAAGTCAAAAGCCCCTCCAAAAGTCTCATCTTATACTGATGATATAGATCTTCCTCCATCAGATGACGATGATGACTATAACTCAGAAGAAGAGAAGCAAAGCTCTTTATTGCAGAAGCCAGAACCCAAGTTGGTTGAAGCTTCTATAACTGATAAAGAGCTGAAGAAACGAGAGAAAAAAGAAATGATGGCTGCTCAAGCTGCTGAGCTGGCAAAAAGAGAGGCCTTGAGGGATGATCGTGATGCATTCACTGTTGTCATTGGAAGCCGGGCTTCTGTCCTTGAGGGCGGAGATGATGCTGATGCTAATATCAAAGATATTACAATAGAGAACTTTTCCGTCTCTGCTCGAGGAAAAGAACTCCTAAAGAATACATCAATAAAAATTTCTCATGGAAAGAGGTATGGTTTGATTGGACCAAATGGGATGGGGAAATCTACCCTTTTGAAGCTTTTGGCGTGGAGAAAAGTTCCAGTACCTAAAAATATAGATGTTTTACTGGTAGAACAAGAGATAATCGGTGATGATAGATCAGCACTTGAAGCAGTTGTTTCAGCCAATGAAGAATTGGTGAGACTCAGGAAAGAGGCTGCAGCTTTGCAGAATGCTTCTTCTGCAGAGGATGGTGCCAATGATGATGATGGTGGGGATGATGCAGGAGAGAGACTTGCTGAATTGTATGAGCAGCTGAATTTGTTGGATGCAGATGCTGCTGAGGCTCAGGCATCTAAAATTTTAGCTGGTTTAGGGTTCACAAAGGATATGCAGGAGCGTCCTACCAAGTCATTCAGCGGAGGATGGAGAATGAGAATCTCACTAGCTAGGGCACTATTTATGCAACCTACTCTTTTGTTGCTTGATGAACCAACCAACCATCTTGACCTTAGAGCAGTTCTTTGGTTAGAAGAGTATTTATGCCGATGGAAAAAAACTCTTATTGTTGTTTCTCATGATCGCGATTTCCTCAACACTGTCTGTAATGAGATTATACATCTTCATGATATGAAGCTTCAATTATACAGGGGTAATTTTGATGATTTTGAGAGTGGATATGAACAGCGTCGAAAAGAGATGAATAAAAAGTATGAAGTATATGA